TTTCTGAGGATCCTCAGAATTTTCACTCGATAAGCGTTTTTTTGTTTGAAAATAAGCGTTTTTTTTGCACATATTCATGAAAAAAAACGCTTATTGAGCGAAAATTCTGAGGATCCTCAGAAAATTCTGAGGATGACCATCTTCAGAAAATTTTGAGGATGACGATCCTCAGAAAATTCTGAGGATCCTCGGAAAATTCTGAGGATGACGATCCTCAGAAAATTCTGAGGATCCTCAGAAAATTCTGAGGATGACGATCCTCAGAAAATTTTGAGGATCCTCAGGAAATTCTGCGGATGACGATCCTCAGAGAATTCTGAGGATCCTCAGGAAATTCTGAGGATGACGATCCTCAGAAAATTCTGAGGATGACGATCCTCAGAAAATTCTGAGGATGTTGATCCTCAGAAAATTTTGAGGATGAGGATCCTCAGAAAATTCTGAGGATGAGGATCTTCAGAAAATTCTCAGCATAAGGGTCTTCAGAAAATTCTGAGGATGAGGATCCTCAGAAAGTTCTGGGGATGACGATCCTCAGAAAATTCTGAGGGTCCGACAATTCCAATAATTATTGGATATATCCGGTGTTCGTCAGCACGACGATCCTTGCAAAAAAGTTTCTCCAAGAGCAAAGTCAAACACGAAGCACGGCCCTATTGTGTACACAGACAACACGCAGTGTTTTACTTGTTTTGTTGTTTTTCTCTGACCATCAAAGCTATATTTATTTTAAAATAAACCAAAACATGATGATAATCATCAAATGTATTTGATATTCAATCACCAGATATATCCAGAGATTGTCAGAATGATGAACCTTGGCAAATCTGATTCTCAAAGGAAAAACAAACACAAAGCATGCCGTTATTTTGTATACATACAGCACGCGCTGTTTTACTTGTTGTGTTTGCCTCTTTTTCCGTGCTCAAAATTACCTGATGCATGTCGCGAAAATGGTATCCTGATAAACTCCTCATGATATCCTTCAAACGTTCTGATGATCATCTGTAAATTCTGATATTCTCGGAAATGGTTCATGATATCCTCAGATAAATCTGATGACCCTCAGAAATTTCTGAATGTATCCCCCAGAGGTTCTGCTGATATCCTAGAATCCTAGAACATCCTAGATGCTTTATGATGATACCGTCAGAGAATTATTTCTCAGAAAATTCTGATCCTCAGAGATTGTTTTATCCTTCGGAAACTGTGATGGTATCCGTAAAAAAAAAAAATCCATCATTTTCCAAAAGTGACATTCTCCAAAATGCCCCATTTTATCCTTTGAACATGTTGCCATGTTGTTCATTTTCTTTTAAACAGTTTTATATAGTTTTATCATGTACATCCAAAAAATATTGGAAACTGTCTTGATGTACGTTCAGGATATTCTGACTGCCACAAGAACTTTCTCTCGATATATGTGGATATCCTGAGAAATATCCTCACACAATCCGATGGTATTTTTCCTCAAACCCAGTAAATCACATGGTTGATTGGTATAGCTGGCAGAAATCCGCCAAAATCTTACTTCACACTGAAAAGGGAAATTAAGGTCCCTGCCACCCAAAGTACATTAAACACGCATATTACACAAAAAATGGACCTCGCAACATGTACTATGTTTTTTCGATGGTTCCCTGCATTCATGGTAAATGTTGGTAAATGGGTTTTCCTGACATAAGTGGTTAGATTCCCCAATATGCGTTCATGGCGCACGATTTTTTTTTTTGATACACCTTAAACGCATATTGACCCCCCCCGCTAACAGAATTGGACCATAAACGCATATTGGGCAAATAAACAGGGCTTCACGAAATTTACTACTCTATCCATCTCTTTTAGTGGTTCCTTTGATTGCCATATAACTCCCCAACCCCAATTTTCAATCAACGACCACCCATTCACGGCAATTTATCAATATTCATCATATCGTCATATGCATTTAAGGGCTGCCGCCCCTGCCGACCCCGGAAAGCAATATTGGCATTGAAAGGCGGTGATTTTCCAGGTCGCTACGTTAAATAACTTCTGTAGATTGTTGTTTTTTGGCTATAGGCTATATACTAATTGGATCTTACTGGTTTCTTGGATTATAATATATTATAATCAACAATCATGGGGATATCACCGGGATATCCATTTGCCAAGCACTTTGGGATGGTGGCACGGGGTGATAGTTTCAACGGCTGTTTCTGAAAGTTCTCATCTTGGAAGGCCAAGGTGGGCAGTGTCCAAAGACTTTGTGGCCTGGTGAGGTAACATCATTCCAATCATCTATAGATGGCCCATGGCTGCCATAGTTTTGTTAAAAAACTAGAGGGTAATTACATGTAGTATGTATAATACATATATATATATATATATATATATATTATATATATATTATATATTATATACGTATACACATAATATTATACGTATATATATATATATATTAATATCATATATATATACAGATATATACATTGTATATTTGGGGTTATTTACTACTTGATTGATTCGGCAATACCATGGCCCAATGATGGGAACATGGACGTTTACGAGCTTCCCGCAGCGCGGCAGGCCTTCGTCTCTGTGGTCTACAAAACATGCTGAAGCTTTTTGTTTCACCGGAGACGTACTGAATAGATTTTACTGGTATGCAAAATCCAATTTTTTCCCAGGAACATGGCGGATTTGCTGGATCTATGTTGATTGACCGGGGGGTCTTGTGTGCTTTTATTTGGATACTTCCAGCACCCCAAAGCTTGCTATTTGCTAGTTTCGGGGCTGCCCCCGCAGAGCCTTAGCCCCATGGTGTTGAAGGACGGAACCGGCCCGCGGCCTGCAGCTTACGGTGCCTACCCCAAAAGCTTGTTAGTTGCTGGTTTCGGGGCTGCCCCCGTAGTGCTGAAGGACGGAACCGGACCGCGGCCTGCAGCTTACCGTGCCTAAAGTTGCTTTCTGAACCGACAAGAAACTAGCTCCCAAAAGCTTCTTGCCTTCTTGCTTCTTGCCCCTTGCTGCTTGTAATGATTTCTTGCCCCTTGCTGCTGGAAATTTCTCCTGTGACGCGCTCCCCCTGCTGCAAGCGGGGTCGGCGGATATATATATATATATATATACTGTGTATATAATATATATATATATTAATTTATATATAATATATATATATATTAATTTATATATAATATATATATATATACACATTTTTTAATCACCAAACAGCTGGTTTAAGAATTTCGTTTGTGCATTGTTTTTCTTGTTTGGGTTGTCCCATTCATCGCCGTAGATTCCCATTAATCACCCTTAGCTGGGCAACGAAGGCTGAGAACGAAAAGCCCAACGTGGGTGAAGGCTATGCCCAAGGTATCCCATTCATCAGCCTAAACTTGTAAATGATTAATTGGGTTTGTCTGAAAATAGTGTACCCCTACACCCAATGGTTAATGATCATTATCCCTACTAAATGGCTATAATTGGGGGTATACCCCATTTTCAGACATACCCAATTATCACCAGTCACCAGTCTCCCCTGAGTTGGTTTATAACATGTTGACAACCCAATAGATCAAGTTCGATACATCTACAGACCCTAGTTGGCCAAATGGTCTTTGCCAACATAGCTAAGACTCGAGTGGTGCCAACATAGCTAACGACCTGGGGCACCATGAGACTCGCCTTCAATTCCCCCCACGCCAAGCCTCCACACCTTCCGAAATCTACGAAGGCCTCACACTGCTCCAGCAACTCAGAGGCGCAACACACCCCATGGGTCTTTCACCGGAAAATGATCGATGGGCGGGTCATTCTTTGCTTCGTAACACCACTCATAACCAATGACAATTTTTCGGAATTATCACCAAGGAATGGGCTGACAATGGATGACATATTCAAGGCGGATGTCATCAACAAAGTTTGGATTTTGCCTGAGAATTGGGAATGAACCATTGGGATATTCTGGGATTTGACCAGCACTCGTTGGGGATTATCGTTGGGGGATAAACACGGGACGTGTGAAAAAGCAATGACCATCGAGGTTGAAGCAGCTTAAACATTGGAAGATCGCTGCTCCAGCAACCCGGGACCCTGGACACCATAGAAGGCCTTCCAAAAAAGGGTCATGAACTTCCATTTGCCCCGATTAGACATCCAATTTTTAAACACCGGCACAATGAGTGTATAGTCATTTACTGCAAGTAAGTAGATCATGTCCCACTGTGGACATCAGGGTATTCAATGTTTCCCAAGGTTTCCCATGGTTTGGCTCCATATTCAGTTATCTGGATTGCTGAAGACGATTTTTCATAATTTTTATTTTCCCATTGCTTAATCCACCATTTTTGGGGAATCTACTAGGATTATTTTTCATGTTTTTGGAGGACTCCTTAAGCAAAACTCCAAGGGCTGAGATTCCCTGAGCGCAGGGCGCTGCTTCGCTGCAACTTTTTGAGTCCGACATGCCGGAGGCTGGGCGAAAGGAAGTAACCCAATGCCACAAGCCTGACATTTTGGATGGTTTCTACAACCCATTCATGGTGATGGCGGGGGATGGTTCATCGGGTTGTACATGGTTTATCACATTATAAGAAAGAAAGGAACTACTGTTCAACCAACCAACAAACCAAAGAAGTGAGTAGAATCAATAAAAAACAATTAGATGCTTGATCAACTAACTATAGTCTTTTCATAAGAAAAGTATCTGAAAGGGTTGGGATGTTCACCTGCTTCCTGATCCAGGTCGTTCCTCCTCCCTGTATAGTGCGTTCTGTGCGGATGCCAACTCGGGTCTGGGGAAATGGTTGGCTCAACCACCAGCCACAGCTGAATCTGCTGGGCCTGCTGGGCCTGCTGGGCCTGCTGGGCCTGCTGGGCCTGCTGGGCCTGCTGGGCTTGGCTTGAAATGACTGATGTGCTTCGTGGATCCGTTTTTTGCTTCAATTCGGGGTTGGTGTTGCAGGGAATTCACCCCTCCAGTTTTCCATGACACAAGGATGCTTGGTGTTGATAGACCTTTGGCTCAAAGTATCCTGCGGCGCGTGAAACTTCCTTGAAAAGGGGCAGCATGTTGCGTGCACTGTTTTCAGGCCCCACCCCACCCCGCGGGAGACTTGGGTTTGAAAACAGGGTACCGGGTATTACTGTTGTTGGTTTAATCATGATTGGTCAAACCGGCCCTATAACAGCGTTAATTACATAATCATTGTTTGATTTCTGTGTGTTGTTGGCTAACCACTCCAAGTGCTATTGATCCAATTGCTATTGATTGCAGATTGAATCCCCAGTCTTGTTGGTGAAATCTCCATGCTTGATCGAATCCCTATGATTCTTGGCTGAAATCCGCCATGTGTTTTCGATTTCTTGGTTCAACCCCCGTTCTTGATTGAATCCCAATAGATTCTTGCTTGAAATGACAATTGTTCACCCACGCACACCCAAAATTATGGGTACTCCCCTAAAAAATGTGGGGTTTCCCATGGTTTTCCCATGGTTTTCGACACCGAAGCCCCGCAGGCAGCGATGATGCCACGAGCCAAGCGCAGCAAGGGGCGTCCCAGCCGCCTGTGCGGCTGCTGGTGATCCAGGCAGATGACTATGACTGGCCGGCTGCTGGGCCTGTCATAAAGTCTATGAGTTGGTCTGTACATATATACATACTGTATATATATATTATCATTATATATATACATATGTAATTATGTATGTATATATATATTATCATTATATATATACACATATGTAATTATGTATGTATTTTGAGACACATTTCTATATAATCTACCATATTCTACGATTATATGTATATATATATATATATATGTATATAGATAGATAGATAGATAGATAGATAGATAAATAGCAATAGACATTATGTACACATGCACATGTACATCATGTATACATATCTTGCACATATTATATACTCACATAATGTGCACGTTTGGGGAATCAAACACGTTGCGCTGCCACCCTGAACTGAGTAGATTGGGGCTTGGGGGGTTGGTGTCAGGGACCATCAGGGGCCATGAACACTTAAAATTTCATAACTGGTTGGTTTGGAACATGAATTTTATTGTTCCATTCAGTTGGGAAAAAAATATTTGACGAACTCCATCATTTTTCAGAGGGGTAGGGTTGTTTTACCACCAACCAGAATAGTAGTTCCCATCAATTAACCATATAATAACCATCATCATTAGCCATTATTAACAGTATATTAACAACATATTAACCATATATTAACCATTATAAATGCTTTCACCATGGGTTTTTGAATGGTTAAAAATCCTCCACCGAGGTCATCCTGAAAGGTGCCAGGATAAAAGATGGCCGTCCCATCGTGGTGTACCAGACTGGCTGGCCTGACATCCATGTTCATGCCAGCACCTACTCATCTGCCAGGACCTGAATCGTATGAAATCCATGGATAGTGACACAGAAGTGTCAGTGGTGAAACATTTTCATGGCTATTTGACAAAAAAAATAACCGGGATCGAATCTGAAGCAAGATAGAAAAGTGAAATCCAATTAAAATGCTTTCTGAATCGCTTTCTATCTTTTTGTGAGTTCCTAGAGTCCCTACGTATACTTTTCATCCACGTTCGACGCCGTTGCTTGCAGGATCTGTGTGGAGATTCTGAGTTTGGCGAAATGTGCCACGCCGCCAGAAGGTTTGGCGCTATCATCTGGTCGACGCATTACCATGCAGCCTGATTTCGTGCTGATTCGGAATGAAGTGATCTTGGGCAGCATGGGCCAGCACTCCAGCACTGGGAGCCAGAACAGATGGGGAATTGTCATTTTTACGATGGCCTGTGGGGTTTTTTCGCACCTGGCCTAAATGGGATTGTTGTAACTTCAATAGGAAGACCGGAATACCTATGAAATCCTATGAAGCATGCAGTAATGGAACAGGTTACATGGCTCACTTGGGGTTGCTGAAGGCGCGGCTATTCTATTTTCCTGTTGGTTAATCCGCCATTTACAGAATCTACTGGGACGTCTTTTTTTGGTCCCCTTGAGCAAAGTTTCTAGGAATGTCAGCTTAAGAACACATCAGGGAAGGCTAGGAATGACACCCAGGACTGTAGTAATCTGGGATCTGGTGACATTTTGGCGGTGCCAGCGCCACCATTTTGTTGTAACTTTCATGGGAGTTTGGGTGGTTGCTGGAACATCTCAGGAAGACACCATCCTTTGATGCCAGAAGCAAGCTGAATGGCCTGATGTTTGCAGGTTTCCCAGCAGCAGAGGACATCGACAGCCATGCCGTGAAAATTGACCAGTGACCAAATGACCAACATGATGACTGGTGCGAATCTATCATAGTGAAATCATATTACATCTGTCACACATTGGCAACTTGATTTAGAGCTGGACCTACCCTCTGGTAATTTAACATAGCTATTGAAAATGGTGATTTATAGTGAGTTTTCCCATTAAAAATTGTGACGTTCCATAGTTATGTTAGTTTACCAGAGGGTAAGGGGCCTGTCTCGCAGTCTCGCAGTCTCGGAGTGACTGTTGCAGCACGTTGCAGTGTTGCCCAGGTGTTCCGTGTATGAACTCCCTGGAATCCATCATGATGTTCTGCGAACGTCCAGCAGTGCAAGGCTTCTTGCATCAGCAACAGCGACGTTTGGGCGATGCGTTTCCAGTGGTGCCGTCCCTTGGATGGGAAGAGCTTGTTGATGGGCGTAATTAAGGCCTGGGCTTAGGCCTGGATTTATATGGATGTCAATGGAGACTAGCCCAAAGAATGGATACTGGATGATACTAAAAATAATGTACCCAAATGATTCGAATGCAACTTGGATCTATTTGGATCTATTTGGCAGCTTTGGTGCAATTTGGCTCCTCGTCGCTGACATCCATTTCCAGATAGTGATGACGTTGCGGCATGTTGCGGCCGTCTTCAGCCAGAAGAGCCGTTTCATCATGATGGAATTCACAATACTAATGTATGAACAATCGGAGAAAAGATGCAAGAGATACGATGTACTGCTGTACATCATAGAGGATTAGAATTAGTTATATAATGTTATATAGACGTCGCATAGATTACTCATGGGTGCGCTACGATGGCCTGACCTTTTGTAGCTGCAGGCAGCATTTCTGCTCCTCCTCGAAGTCCCTGATGTGACTCCGCTGGTGGGATCGCTGACCATGGGAGGTTTGTTGCGACTGCTCGAAATCTGATGTAAGCTGCAAGAACATAGGGGTTTTACGCGGTTTAATGTAGGTTTAATGTATATACATTTATGATGATAATAATCCTAGTCCTAATACTATACTTGTAGTGGTAGTAGCAATTAAAAATTGGAGATCAGCCAAACAGTGGTTGGTAGTTGGAAAAACAGCCATGATTTCAACCAATCATGGGGTTGCCATAGTTGGGAGAGTTCCTGGGTATGGTTGCTAGCAAGTGCATTGCTGGCAGGGTGACCCTACCGCCGGCTCCAGTATTAGTGGCCAAGATTAGGAGTCTTCAGGCACAAGTTTTGAACAAAATCGTGACTCTCTGTATCACACCATGGGGTTGTCAGCAAAAATCAGAACTTTGGTCATTCATTGTGTATTCATATCGGGAAAAGTATGGGAAAAAACACCAGCTAGTTATAGATGATGGATTTTAGTGGAAAGTCAGCTGTGGTTCTACCAGCCCCTCACGGCCTGATAAATGAGGTATGGATACACCTTCCCTGCAGTGGCGAAGGTGGGTTCGGCTCATGCAGGAGTGGGGAAGATGAAAATTTCAGACGCTAAGCAGTGAAGCTGATGTGGGGATACAGTGGGATGGGAATATCATGGGAGTAATGGGTAATGTCAACCCGGGATTAATAAACCCCCGGGCTGTTGATTTTTGGGAAGGTACCATTTACGTATCAAATCATGACTATTGGGGGAATACCTTCCTAATTAATATGGTTTATTAATCCGGGCTTGACATTAGTAATTATTCAATGGGAACATCATCCATAAATCTGGATACCCTCTGGTAATTTCAATCTGGAACATGGCCATTGGAGGCAAATCATGGAACCGAATGGGCCATGTTCCACATACCAGAGGCTAGAGGCCATCGTGAAGCATTTATCAATGAAGGGCGTTCCTTCAAGAATGGGTCAATCTGGAACATTCTGGGCTGCTCCAACCCATTATACTGTAGATAAATGAGAGCCACAAGGGGGGAAAATTCGTCATTTTACCTCGATATTTACCAAATTTATCCCAATTTAATTTACCCCCCAAACGTACCTGGGGTGTCAGTCAGTGTCAGTAGCAACCCTGCTGAAAGATGGGCAGCAGCAAGGTCAGATCCCACACCCCAAGGACCTGGACGTACAGTCTGTGGAACATCCCGCTTCGTGAACCGATTCTTCTTGATATGATTAAATCTAAACAACAGCTACGTTTGGTTACCAGAGTGTCTCCAGCCTCAGTAACTGATCAAAAATATCTTGAAATAAGAAGGGATTGTGGTTAGCAACCAAAAGCTCATCCCAGCCCAGCGCAAAAAATCATTGTCCTCCGTAGCCGAGGCAGCCCTAAATTGTTCATGAGCAGTGACCAACCCTCCAGTTGATTCGGGATAATATGTTGTTGATACAATAATACGTATTTTTGAGTTTTATTGCAAGCTACCTGATTCATTTTGGTGTGGATTATTATATATACATAATAATGACCGATGATGGAAATCCCCTTCTCACCCAGCAGTGCTCACAGCACAAAGTCACCGTAACTGCGATAACGTAACTGCGATAATCTGAGGACCACAAACAAATGTCAGACTTCAGATCGATTCTGGAGATGATGCCTGATGAACACTGCATGGTGGAGCCATTTATTGAAAGCCAAGGCGACTTGAGACTTGGATAACTTGGAGAAGAGTAGAGAAGCTGATGGCTTCTTTCGAATGTTCCCTGGTTGGTGGTTTCGAACTTTTTTTTTAATTTTCTATATGGGATGTCATCCTTCCCATTGACGAACTCATATTTTTCAGGATGGTTAAAACCACCAACCAGTTCCCAACTAACGCTGGACAATGAGCCCAACTACTGTAACTCTTTTCCAGCTGGATGTGGTGCAACCAGTCCACTTAGAACTGCTTGGAAAAAGACCTCCAGGATGACCAAGCGGGTCATCCGCCAGTGACCTCAAAAAAGGCGCAATCTTGAAAGGTGAACCGTTCTTCTTTTCAAGAATATATATATATATTATAGTATTACATAGTATAGTTGTATATTAAGTGGCATTTTTTGATTGAACTTTCACATCACATCCTACCCGGTTACCGGTTAGTTGGCACTATTTTTTGGCCAGGAATTTAAAAAAGCGCCTGAGGAGAATCCAGAAGATTGGTTCCCACTACCGTGCTTTCAAGCGAATAGGCACTGGATCCTGGGGTCCTAGAGGATGGTGCCCAGAATTTTTGGAAACTTCGTAGGTAGGCAATGGTAGTCATGGCAGTAGAAAATGAGAAACTACAACTACAAGCAGCTACATGATGATTTTTGTGGTTCATGGTAGTTATATATTAATATATATATATATATTATAGCAGTTCAAAACCAGCCCGCTGCTTTTTCCCAGCAACATTTCTGCATATGGAGTATCAGCGGACCTACACCAGCAGAAGGTCTTCACCAGAAACATCCAAGAAGTGAGATGGGTATGAAGTGATTTGGAGCTTTCCAAAGTCATGGGGGTACCCCGATAGCTGGATGGTTTATCTTGGAAACAGCTAGATGGGGTGCCTTGGATTTGGTCAGGATGAGCCATTCAAATTTGGGGACATCCCTGGTTTGTCTAGATGATTCTAGATGTCAAAGAGGATAAAGAGGGAAGATTCATCTTCCAGACCCCATTCTTTGGGGTTTCATGGCTGCCTTGTTAAAATCTGGGGCTCCGAAGATTTTTGACTCATCCCACATCCCCTTTGATGCTGCCTGCACGGCTGGGTGAAGTCACAAGGCTTGTGAACTACGGCTTAACCTGAAATTAACACCCGAAACAAAACACTTCAAAAATGCATGATTGAAGACTATGTCAGGCTTTTCTCCTAAATCCATCTAAATCCCCCAATTTTGGATGGGTGCTTCGGTATACCAACAAAAAAACGTCTTAAAACGATCTACCATGATCCACCAACAAAAACGAATCATCAAAACATCCATCAACTCTTGGTGGGTCAGGCATCTCTGGAGACTGGAAGACCAACACCTGCACCGCCATCATGGATGAGATCCATTGCACGGAGCGTCTCTTGGACGGCGAATTGTTTTGTTTGAACATGGGGGATGAAACATGGGAGAGAGAGCCCATCAAATATAGGGATTTAGAGACGAAACATGGTGATTTACCAATCCAAAATAGGAATTTACATGATTTAACAGATGAAACATGGTGATTTACGTATCGAAATTGGGTTTATCATTGGAGTTTTGACAGTAATTGGATTGACCCATCATTTGACTGGGGACTTACCTGTCAGATGGTGAAGTGAGAGCAATCATGTCTCACTAAGAACATGAGTGAAAGTGGTTGGGGACCCACCGAAAATTGTGACTGGGTTAAGTAGGATTTCCTTGTATTTAATCGTATGCATATTCTACGTCCGCAAGGATCTCACCGTCAAAGATGCTTGGAGAATTGCTACCAGGCATTGTGTATGTCAGGTAATTAATTGTAGTTAGTGCAAGGAATTCCGAAAATCTACCCGTGTTGGATGTTTGCAACGTCAAGAATTGGGATGCACACCCTCCGTAGATTGGCGGCATAGAATGGCAAGAAATTGGTGGTTTTGGACCGGAAATGACGCAACATCAATCTCCATGATCTTGTTGCCCTGTGTGTTTGAAATCCAATAAATCTCTAATAAATCTCCATTAATGGTTGCTCCCACATCTCCCGGTCTTCAGCTTGCAACCAGCGCCCCATCATGCCATCATGCCATCGGAATTCAGGTCTCTGGCTGGGATTGCAGACATCACTGCGATTTCGCTATGGTTCTTTTAAGGCTCTTCTCCAAAATCGCAATTCAGCCCTTAATGATTAACATATGAAGGCAAATTTTACGAAAAAAAACATAAAAGACCACAAGAAAAGATGTGTTTCACTATGATTTTGAACACCCCAAACGGAAGCCGGTATTTTATTATGCAACACATAAATGGACACCCTTTAAAAACACAATTTACACAACCAATTCAACATCACAAAAACACATACATATTGAAACATACATATGTATATACATATATTGAACTCCCAAAATAATTTCCTTAAATTTGGTCTTGACCTGGTCAATTTTTCAGAAGCTGCGCTCAGATCCAGGCTACCGGCAATGGGCAGATGTGGCATCGCAGCTCTTTGGCGGTCTGGATATCCTGACAGTGGACGCCATCATCGAAGCTGAGACCGGCAAGGTGGGGCTTGGAACCCAAAAACAGATACTTTGGACCGTTGGAATCAGAGCTTGGAGCGGGTTTCCTCTGGAGTTAATTGTTCTTTTTGTTTTCTGAAGGTGATATTTTTTGTATGTAGACCATTGCACACCAACCGCTGGAGATACCGAATATATATGAACATATGGCAGTGTGTCAAAACCTTGTACCCCTGGTGAACATCAAAATAGCTGGTAAATGGATGTTCATCCCCCTAAAAATGGTATGTATAGGTATTGATCCATACCCATATATTTGAATGTCATTAGTCTTATCCATCCGGGATCCGGGGTCGGGGCGTTTTTTGGGGTCACACCCTCTTCAGGAGCTCATACTCGAGGTGAACGGAACATCTTCGGGTCTGCACCCAGACAAAGCTCAGGACGGGAAAAAAAGGGGAGAGGTGAGGAGCTGGGATGTCACATGATGTCACCTTTTTCCGCGAAATTTGTATAGAATACCCTCTGGTAAACTAACATAACTATGGAAAATCACCATGTTTAATGGGAAAATCCACTATAAATGGTCATTTTCAATAGCTACGTTAAATTACCAGAGGGTATATTGCAGAGTAATGGTATACATACATTATATATATACACATATAACTAATGCATTGCAGTCTGTCATTCAAGACTGCCTCAAACAAATATGACAGCCTCAAAACAAGAGTATTTTCCTGTTTCAGGGTAGGGAATGCGAAGCCAGACCCAGCTTTTCAGCATTTTGATTCAGGGGTACCTCAAATTATCCAAGTGGTCGACCGTGATTGAGTATTGTTTCACAACCATGGTGACCAAAAATGACTCTGGCAACCTCCATGTGTAGGAAGACAACCAGTTCATCAAGGAATTGCTGCTTCAGAGGATGACTGCTGCATTGTGCGCTGACGATCTGAATACTGCGAGCTGAAATCCAAGGGAGGAAACCGTTGAAATTGCCACAGGGCGACTGGTTGCTGGTTTCAGCCAGTTGATGGGAGCATTTCAATGGCAACTCAACTAAGAGCCTTCGGAAGTTTGACCATTGTTATTGAATACCCCCATTTTTCATAACAAGATGTTTGTTTCCATCCCTAGTCACTAGTCCCAAAAAATATGGCTTGGTGGTTGAAATCACCATGCAGTGTGAGGGACGAACTGAGAGCGCTCAGCCTGACCATGTCAACTTTGTGCAGTTCGTGGTTGACCAGGAAGGTGGGTTGACATGGTTCGGGGAGGAACCACTCCCTTGTACAGTGCTTGGCTGATGGGAAACAGGGCCCACGGATGGTGGGAATGACAAAAAATCATGGGCATGTGACTTCTTAGATCGTTCCTGATCCGAGCAAACGTCAAACGTGGCCTACCCTCTGGTAATTTAACACATAGCTATGTTAAATTACCAGAGGGTAACAGCAGTCGTAAACATCTCTGAGGTGGTGACGTGGAACGATTTGGGGGAGGAGCCTCCGGTCATGATGCAGGCACCACTGGTATCACTGCTTCTGGTGGATGGAGGTTGAGAGGGAAAAACACATTTTTTTGGATTTTTTTTTGGATGGGAAAAACACACACAATTTTACACTACTCTACGTTTGATCATATCCAAAGCTTGACCATTTGGTGCAGGTTATTGTTCCAATGAAGATCTCCCAAACAGAAGTCTAAGACAGTGAGCCTCAAGATTGTTCAATAAATCGGTTGGTCTGAAAAAAGTGTAGCCCTAAAGGCAATGGCCCAATGGTTATCATTTTTTTCCATTAAAGGGCGATAATGGAAGGTATAACCCATTTCCAGACACACCCAAATTTCCTTGCCATTTTTTTCTGTCCTAGCAACATCAAACCATTCATTCATGGAATTACCTTAGGGCCTTAGGGTTTCTGTCGTGGTCATCTTGAAGGGGGGTTTGTCCGCCCCTGTGTCTTGCTGGGTGCAGGCTGACCGCAGTGCACAGCGACTCACAGCGTTTCTGTCTCAGAATTGGAGAACCCCCCAAGAAACTGGGTTGCTCCAAGCAGTGCTCCAAGCCATTTTGTGGGCTGTAGGTGAATGATAGCCACTAGGAGGGAAAGTCATGGGAAGTCGGCTTCTTCATGCAGCCATTTTACATCACATCATTTGACCCTGCAATCAGCCCTGTGTTGGGAGCAATTCAGCAGGGGCTGATGAGATCTGATGAGTCTCAAAGGTCCCGCGAAGCTTCCCAAATTAGGGAATTTTGAATGTTTGATTTCCGCAAAAAAGAGTACATCCTGGACATTCTATCATATTGCTATATATATATAATAATATAATATATATACATATATATGTATATATATATATATTGCTGGGATTTGGAAAATGGAGCCCCTGTTTCGATGATTTGATCTCACAGTTGGATGCCTATTTGTCATTAAAAAAATCTGGCATGCTCCAAATTATATAGATAAACATATATTAATATATATATATATATAATACTTCACTAGAATCGAGGCTACCCCAGAGATCATCATCAATATGTCTCATATTATCCCATCTGCATCCATGAAAGGGCGGCATTTCCACCTGGCTGGATTCGCTTAATCGCAGGTTGCACCAAGAGAGCACGGCCATTTCGTTTGGGAGTCCCAGGGGTGGTTGTTTTGTGTGGCGCAGCACATGTGTGGCTCAAAAATGGGAAAGTGGGGATGATTTCCCAATGACTGGCAAGGGACATAGACTCTTACTTTCGTGTTTTTCGAACTACTGTACTTGTAATTATTGTAATTATATGTTGTTCATCTTGGGATGTTTATACATTGTTTTCCAAGATAGGCTCAAAGTAGCCACAAGAATCGGCAGCTTGAATCATCGCCCAGGGATTGTGCAAACTGTCACTCCAACAATGTGATGAAGCTGGGTGAGATAGCATTTTAAGTAGCAGATGAACTCGCCGTTTGAGGGTGAATAAAATTCGAGGTTTGATAGGGTCAACCATTCAACACTAGTGGTGTTTTGATGTGTTTTGTTGCGTTGCAATAGCTCTTGGTATTTGGTGTTGACGTGGGGTGTCTTGGGAGATGCTGTTAACCCCAAAGCCCCAAAGGCCTACGCAGATTTCGACTGCCTTCGCCATCTCTAAGACATTTGGAGCACGGAAGCCCAATGACTGCTGCAGCGTGGTGACAGGAACGTGGAGTGTACCCTCTGGTAATGACTAACATAGCTATTGAAAATGGTGATTTATAGTGGATTTTCCCATAAAAAATGGTGATTTTCCATAGTTACGTTAGTTTACCAGAGGGTAGATTTCAGAAAATATTCAAGACCTCAAGTGAAATAATATGGTGCACGTGGTTCATTGATGTCAATTATCTGCCAAGAAGTCCAACACGTAGAGCCTATAAGTTTGCTGAATCACTGAATGCAGTCTTGGATTGTCTTGGCTTTCTTGGCTTTCGGGCTTTGGCTCTGACATACAGCTGTTGTCGAAGTAAACAATAAACATCAACCTGTAGATCCATCGCTTGAGGTAGCCCCTGTAGATTTCTACGATCTGCGGAGCATCGAAAGGTATCAAAAATCAAATCCATATGACCGAAAAAAGACAGATCAAACACACAGCCCCTTTTTTGGACGTGATTCCCTATATATATACAGTATATATATATATGGTATATTATATATAATATACATGGCATATTATTGCATAATCATCATATCATCAATCCTATGGCTAATATCTTTTTATATCACTGATGGCAAATATCATCAATGATTGTGGTGCCCGTTTCAAGGATCCGGTGTTGCCGGTGGCATGGAGTGAGCCTGCCATGGACGTGGAGAGATTTGGGTGTTTGAAACCCCTTTTAGGTGGCAATTTCAATGGGGAAAATTATCAGCACATTGTGGGGATTTTGATGGATTTTGGGGTTTCAACTTTTGCTTCCCATTTTTTTCGAGACGTTGTAGTTTTTTGGTTCCAAGAATAGCTGGGTTTTATGGGGATTTTTTGGTGTTCCATATTCGACATCCCCAGCATCTTGGGACACCTAGCAACTGGCCTCTTGGCTTGAGGCATGGGGCAGCGGGGCAGCTCATTCAAACATGTCACTGCTGGTTGGTGGTTTGGAACATGGCTTTTATGACTTCCCCAATAGTTGGGACGATGATCCAATCTGACGAACTCCATCATTTTTCAGGGGGATTGAAACCACCAACCACTTTGCATTTTTGGGCTCAGGGAAAGTCATGAAATTTGGTGAAAATCTCGAGTCGTCTCACGTTTTTAATGGTGCGGATCACCGCACTCTCTGGCGAACTTGTCCTGGAGCTGGAGGATGTCTACACTCGCATGGTCGATGGTCAAAATGTGAGGGACCTCAAAAAGTTCCTTGCAGTTCTGACTGGACACCCCAGGTTTAAGCAAAGACTCCTTGTGGATGCTGGCCCCTTGCGGGATGACATACCCTTGCCAGCGTTGGCAAACATGCAATTGGTGATTTTGAACTTTGCAGATCCTGATGAGACATCAGCGGAAAGACTTTGCCAAGAATGTGCAAAGATCCATGTAGATCAAGTTGAGATGCTTCTTCAGAAACCGCAAGATCCCAATGTCAGAGGTCCAATGCGCAGAGCACCCATTGCTGATCGAAGCCAGGGCTGATATGAACCTAGCAGCTGGGATGACAGCTTTAGATACTGCCGTCCCAAAAAGGGATTCTTCGCAGTGACACGATGCCGGAGCGGAACTGGATGAGAGGAACGATGACCCTTTTCTTGAGGCCGAACGCGCGCAAAAGAGAGGAGGTGCTCCGACAATATTTGTTCACCTAGATTTTTCAGATGATTGTCGGCTAATGTGATGTCGTTACGATGGCATCTCGATTTGGTTTTTAGTATACGTTGAACCATCACATGCTATTTGTGTTACACTTTGTTGACTGCTTTGCATTTGGCAGCTGGGAGTGGTTGCTTGGAAATGGTTCAGTTGTTGGTTGAGAATGGTGCAAACATTGATGTAGCAACGACAGGAGGCCAAGCACAAACACCTTGGCATTTCATGCCACCTGGGTCAGAATGGCTCACCTGCTGTGCATCTGGAAAGGGACCCCGGTCTTGGGCGGAGAGCGGCAGAAATGCAGGGACATTCGGTCGAAATTAGGAATCGTGCACGAGCACTAGCTGGTAATTTTTTGGAAGTTAAGCGCTTGTTTGGCAAAGAACCAGCTTGTATGCTCCCGTTTTTTTGGGCAAATGGCTTTACGGATTTGCATTTGGCAGTTTTTGGCGGTCAGCTGGACTTGATAGAATTCTTGGTTCAACACGGGGCGGACTTACGTCATTCACTACACGTCGCAGCATTTTGCTACAACTTGAAAGTTGCACGCTTGTTGCTTGATGCCGGAGCGGAAAAGGTTGAGAGGAACGACACATTGGGCAGTGGCATGACTTCTTTGCATTTGGCAGCTGGTAGTGGTTGCTTGAAAATGGTTCAGTTGTTGGCTGAGAATGGTGCAAACATTGATGTAGCAATGACAGGAGGCCAAACACAAACACCTTGGCAATTCATGCCACCTGCGTCAGTGGTGAATGGCTCACCTGCTGTGCGTTTGGCCTTCTTGTGTGGCCATCAAGACGTAGTGGGATTTTTGGTTGGTGCCAGCTTCGAATAGAGTGCAGTGCAGCAACGCGTTCGCGAGATCTACAGTGCTTGACTGCATGGGCTGCCACTGAAGTAAAAAAAAAAAAGTCGGAAAAATTGCATCAGTTGCTGCAGCAGCCGGATTTTAGTGGATTTGCCATGTCATTCTTCATTTGGTGGGGGAAGAGGCACACATTCCTGAAAGAGACAACCCCGCTATTGTCAGTCTCCGAAGCCTTTCTTGGCTGATTGAGAGGTGGTTCGTTTTGTGCTAAGTAGATCACAGACATGTGGTTCCTAGATTGAAAATTGCGGGATGATCCCACAGCGCAATGAGCAATGGTGCAATGAGCATGGCACATCCTTTCCAGGGCGACAATCCATGATTCTCCGTTTGAACGCAGTGCCAAACATATAGCATTCCAGTTGCAGAGGCCCAAAGGATTCAGTCACATGTGTTGAAATTTGAAGTGAACGACAGACAGTGCTGTTGACATCTAGTTACTAGTTGTGTCCCCAAGAAACAAATTCCCCATTGACATCCATAGATATCATGTGATATCTCTATTCTTGTTGGCGATGAGTATGGCATGGTTACCCTCTGGTAAAGATACAAACAGCTATGGGAAATCTACATGTCCAATAGGATCCAATAGGTATATCAACTATAAATGGCCATTTTAGCCAGAGAGTAAACCAATCACATGTAATTCTAATGATATTTTGATCCACTTTCACGATATCCATTTTCAATAGCAATGTAAGAAATTACCAGAGAGTAAACCCAGCATTTTTCCATGGTATTTTGTCGTAGCACGCCATGGCGCTGGTGAGCTGGAAGACTGCGCGGATCACACGGCAAGGGCTGGCCCTGTGCCTTGCCTTAGAACAAAGGATAAGATCCCTTGGGGGAAGTTTGGAGCCTTTATTTTATGTACTGTACATATATACATATATATATATACGTATATATAATATATTGATATATATATATAATATATATATATATAATGATCTACATATATATATATATTTATATACACATAATTTATTGTAATTTAATAAATCTGATTATATACATATTCAATCATATTTCTCAATTATTATAGATATGTCATGCCCATATGGTCCATGGTGCTGGAATATCTCCCTTCATAAGTGGGTCAAATGAGGAGCAAATGTACATATTCCAGCACCATGAAGCATTGGGGATAAGTGTATCTATGACTTAATTACCAACATAACATAATTACTAAAGTATTGCTCACATTCTTCCATGGTTTAAAATGAATCAAGGGATTGTGACTTTGCTGTGAAGGGTCTCGTTGATCAGGGTTAGACGCGGTAGATGGGTGAAAGCTTCCAACCATATTGAGGAATCAGGAAAACAGCAGCTATCCATGCCTTCACTCAAAAACTTGGTCATTTGATGTCCAATTTTGTGAGCCAATACTCTTGACACAGATCCCTACATACATATATGTATATATATATAGATATTGTATATATTTATAGTATAGGGCTGAACCATGAAATAACTTTTTTACTTGAGCCTTATCGCGATCCCGTAGTTGTTTGGAAGGTTCGAAACCTCCCAGGGTCATCCTCGTGTTCTGAGGCTGGAGAGAGGCGAGTGGCTGACGGTGTTTCGCTGGCGTGTGGGATGGGGGCCCCAAAAAAGAATCCACGGTTTCACCACTGAAAACGAGATTTGAGGCTGGGGACTTTTTCATTTTTCTTGAGGTCGCAGCAAAGTTTACTCTTGATGGTTGCCAACATCACTCACCATCAGAGCTTTGCAATAGGAATAACACGCTTGCTTTGTTAGGCTTTGTTGGTATACCTGGGGAGCAGGGTTCTTTTCCTCGCCCAACAGTGATTTAAGACTTTGCATTCACTGTGTCACGATCATTCACTTTAATGTAGATGTTTATAGGAATTGACTCCTCAAATCTTCGAATTCCGTGGGTGACCCTCCATCATTGGACATCCCAACAGTTCAGTTCCCACACTTCCGGTGCCCTGGAGATGGGCTGAGGATGAGGTCATGACTTTCTGGCTGGAGTACTTCAGCACCGCTGCCCCACCAGAAGCTTGGCCCTGCTGGCGTCTCTCGGCTCTAGGTGTAATATCATGTAATATCAATGCAGAACATGATTCACTACGATGAACCTGTCTCGTCATATGATCCGGCCTTGGGCAATGTGTAGCGTTGGTAGCCACTGATCTAATCTGCGGCAGATCTGGTGCCCGGTGGATGTGTTAGGGCCCAATTCCCGGCAAAGCCTTTCGCTTTCCGCACGAGGATCACACGTGTCGGCAGTGTAACCTGTATGGTGGTGTGAAATCAGCATGTGATTGAAATGTGTGGAACAATTTTTAGGCCCCAAAATGGCTGTGTCCCAAGCTCTCTCTGAGTGGACCAATTTTCAGGAGGACTTGGGGACCACCAATTTTGTTTCACCAGGATGGATAACTTCTGGCCAAGCCAACCCAACCGCCCAACATCCTTGCCATCCACTACCATGCTGCCAGCCATTTTTCCAAGGATGGTCTGGGTCAACCGCAAGATGTGCTGGTCATGGATCCGGTCTTGGGGAATTTGCTCCTGAGCTGAAGCATGGTCCTGGCTGGTGGTTTCCAGCATAATAATGGTTTCATTTTTTCTACATGTTTAACGTTTCTAGTTCTCCATATTTGAGAGATTCCCAACCACCACAATCTCCGGTCTGAGGATTGTCTTTGAGGAGGATCCCGAAGATTTGAAAGACCTGATTGACTCCCTAGAACTTACACAGAAACGCCTCATCGTCGTTCCGGTGCCAGACCGGCAGGATGCAAAATCTGATCAGACAACTGCGCTGTAGATGTCCTGTTTGTTTGAAGCATCAGGACTGTTGGAATTCTATGGAATTCTTGATGCCTATTCTAAGTGCAGATGACTGGCTGTTTTTCCAGGCACATTTCCATAGGTTTCCTCAAGCAGCACACCGTACACCGTTGCCAGGACAAAGGCGGCCGGGGCAAGTACGAAGGAGTGCACTGGGCCTTGCTCGCCTTGGCACGGGATGGGGAGGAGTGGATCCGCGATCCGCGGATCTGGGGGAAACTTGGGGATTTCAGACAGATACTGTATCCTGGGGAAGACTGATCTTGCAGGCAATGTAGATGTAGATTCACATCAAAACTTTCTTTTAGATCTTTTTTTTATTCTTGAGATATTTGGAATACCAAATGGTACTGTATGGTGGTAGGATCATATATGGTGTATTTATACAGTGTATGTGATGTTCTATATATAATTACGCAGAAGAAGCATATGGCATATGGGATTTTGGAGCTCTCTGAGGTGTATGGATGTTTGATATATATATATATATATTATGTGTGTGTGTTGGATGATGTTTGTGTTAAAGTCCGAACAGATCCAAAAGAACCAACATATATAAACAGCAGCCCATTGTTGTAGGGACTGGCCAAGGGCATGTTGATCTGCTACCCAGGGCCCCACTGCAGCCGCAGCACCTTGGATTCTTTCTGTGAGGAGCTTCGAGGGTCCTACTATGATTCCATGGGCACACTGGTTGCACTTAGCGTGGGCTTTCCATTGGAATGTGATCCAGTGTTCATCATCATCATCATCATCATAATCATTATCATAATAACAATAAGATAATGCATTTAATGCACAATAATACATATATATATATATTTAATATAATACAATACAATATAATACAATATATATATGATATTTTTTAATACAATATAATACAATACAATATAATACAATACAATATAATACAATAAATGTGATATTTTATAATACAATATATAATCTATACTATGTAACATATAATATACCATATATATATACAATATAATTTCTGACATATATAATACATGATATATAATATTTGATATATGATAAATGATATTTAAATAAACAGGATATAAAACAACATGATATATAATATATGGTTTGAATATGTACGCTGCAACCTGGACGTTTGCCCGGAGTTGATGTCCCGCCAATATTGTTCTGATGGGGTGGCGAATTTTGATCCCTCATGAAGATGAAGTTGATGTTATTACCCCATTCAACATTGGACATAGGAGGCGGCGAATTTTAATCCCTCATTAAGATAAAGTTGATGTTATTATCTCAATCAACGTATTGTTCAGAGGGGGTGTCGAATTTTGATCCCTGTTTCGCAACTTCCCAGCAACACAGGAATTGTCTCTGTTACGTCACAATGATGAGTCTGGGCGAACGTTAAGGTTGCGGACAATATGTAATATATATTATTTAATATTTAACACATAGTATAGAATGCTTATTTATTAACAATATAGTATACTATATTATAATATGATGTAACATGATATAATATGCTATAGTAAGAACATACAATATATCATAACAAAATATATTACAATAAAATATGTTTTATCATAAAAGAATATAAATGTTATAAATGAGTATAATATGTGATTTACGACAATAACAATATGTACAACAATATTAATTAATCTATAAATCAAACCATCTTAACCGTAAACATATATACGAATTTATATGTATATACACATATGTACATACGAGTATATATATATATATGACAATGCAACTAGACAAATATATATATATATAGAATAATATAAACATATAAACATATATCATGATATATATGCATATACATATATCAATATATATATATATATAAATACATATATCAATATATATATATAAATACACATCATAATATATAAATATATACCATAACATATATATACCATAATAAATATATATATATATATGTCATAATATATATATATATAAATGTAATAACATATATATATTTCATTGTATATAAATTATTATATATATATATAAATTTAATATCATTATATTTGTATATATATAAATCATAATATATATATATATATATATTACTATCGGCGTTGGCCTCTTTATTTGGGCCTTTCTGTTTTCTGGTGTTTGGACCCAGGAACTATTTGCAAAGTTCCAGGAACTATAATATATATATATTTCAGTATCATAATCTTGTGGTCCCCAGTGAAATCCCCCGCCAATTCCTGATATCAGAAAAGGGAGCATCCTTTTTCACTGCAATGACAACAGTGGGATCATGTGTTTCATTGGAAGACTTCCAACAGAGGCTTGGTTTAACATTCAGCCATTCTTTTGGCAGTATTTTTTGATTTTGCGTTGAGCACGTCTTCATGACTCAATCCTGAGAGGCTGCTATAGTGCAAAATGAACATTGTTTATTACTGATGAACATCTTCAGCACCAGAGTAAAACATGTTCCTATATGATGCTTTGTCTAAGGACATCGTTCTATGAGGCTGACTTGCAGAAGCAGACAAAATTTGAGCTGTTTGTGGTTCTTTTGCACATGGGCTGGAAGGTGACCGAAAAGGAGAATTTGCAGTGCAGGTACATTTGCAAAGATGGTGACGGTGATATAATAAACAAGGAGTTTTTGGTAGGAAAGGCATTGCGCAAAGAATACTTGTTGTCTCTGATTCTGGCAGAGAGCTTATTGCAAGAAGGACTGGAGAAGATTTTTCATGAGCAGAGCAAAGCATACTATTCCTGTGTACAAGCTGCATCAAGACTGGCAGAGAAAGGATTGCTTGCGGAACTACAGCCCAACAAGGATGCTGCTTTTTACAAAGAATTGCTGCAGAAAGTGAGTTGAAAACCAAAAGCTCGGGTAATTCCTGGAACTGCCACCACCAGTGGTATCGATCTTACAGATGAACCAAGTCTATTTGGCGGCCAAGAGACAACAGATGTGCAGGAGAAATCAAAGTCTACCAGAAAGAGACCTGGTGATACACAACGGAAGGAAAAAGGCACTACTGGTGGTCGTGCTGAAACTTCTGCCAATGTGAGTTATGACTATGACGAAATAATTTCGGATTCAGACTCAGCATCCCAGCGGTGTGAAGATGAGGAGCCAGCTGGTTCAAAATTGATTACTTCACTAGGCTCCCTTGGACCCCTTGGACAAAGAACACGAAAACGTCCATTGCCTGCAGCTTCCATTGCACCGGGAAGGGCATTGTTGGAAGCAGTGTCTACAGTGTCTACTGCGTCACAGGCAAGCACGGTCAAAGATACTGCAGCCAATACAGCCAAGGGAAGTGATGAGAAAAAGCAACCGCCTGAAGTTGAAGTTGCAAAACGACAAAAAAACACGCATTTATTGATGCAGGATGACAAAGATGACACAGGTTTCATTGAGCCAAAGGTTGAACCAGGAGCTCACCCTGGATCAGTCAGTGCTGCTCCACCTGTCTATGATGTGCCTATGGTGGTATTGTCTGATTCTGATGATGAAGCAAAAGTTGGAGTCCAAGGGTCGGCAGCAGAATCTGCACTGTCAGCACCGATGGGATCTAGACCAAGCAGCCCTATAGAGGCAGCCGTTGCCAGCAGTGCAAATATACAGTACGAGGAATCTTCAGTACTAATGACTACAGAAGGAGTGCCTGCGGCTGCAACAAAGCCTGCAGCAGATGACTCACAGAAAGCAAATGCAAAAGCTTCCAGTGCAAGGGCCAAACCTGCTCAGCCGGCTCAGCCTGCTCCTACACCAAAACCCGCAGATCAAGATTCGAAATCAAAACCATCCAGTGCAGGGACAGGGGCCAAAGCCAAAGCTGCTGCTACTCCACCACAGGGAAGTTCTGAGCCGTCATCATATTCAATGCAAGCATTGTCTGGCTTGACAACATCCCAGTCGTGAAGCGGACTGACAAGAAAGGATCTGTCCCTCGACCGTCCACCTTATTCAGATCAGATCTACTAGTTGTTTGCACAGATTTATCATGCAATGAATCAACAAACAAAAAACAATATCAGTATCAGACAATTGTTTGCGCATGTGTCTGTGCCAGACCCTGTACCGTTTCATTCGCCACGTCGCCCAGGGTGCTTTCTATGTGACTTGCCCTTGTCACAAGTCGGTGAAGGAGGACGGCAAGGAGCGCAAATGCAAAAAGGAGATTTCCGTCACTACGTCCATCTCAGAAGAGATAGCTGTTAGAATGATTGCTTGGTGGCTTCTGCAAGGTTTTTGGTTGCACTAATGTCCCGACACACACACATACACAGACACAGACACATCAGTATGTATTCAAACATAGCAAATTGCTTTTAGAATCTTGCAAACACCTTGCTGGTGCCAAGTTGTTAAAACATTATGTTTTTCATTATTGATACACCAAGGCTACAAGATGGTTCGAAGGCCAAATGAAAGGGACGAAGCGCTCAGGAGGAGGCATGTCATGACTGCAGTGCCCTTAGCCTTGCTTGAGAGACTTGAGAGAGTGATAAGATTTTGTTCATTACACACCAACTTACAAGGACACGACACGAGCACATATATTCAATCAACTGAGACACAGACTGAGACTGAGGCGCCTATAAATTCTCTGGCAGACTTGCCTTCATTGGATGATCTCAAGGCAGAGATTACCCACTATGCTGCTTTGCAGAGCTCCTTGGCAGAAACATCAAGTCGTGTGAGGGGCTCCTGACTCCTACAACAATAATATGTTGAGACACTGTGCTGGTCACATGCGGACTGAATGGCTGCTCCGAATAAGGAGCTGCAGCGCCTTGATTCTCAGACACATATGGCAGCTCCGGCACAAGTCTGATAGATTTGGGAATGCTTCAACAAAGGTTTGGTTATTCGTTCTTCATTGAAAAAAATATGGAACTTGTTTTGTTGCATTTTGTTTTGTGAATTTTACTTCAATCCTGATCACTTCTTGTGCATCCTCTAATTCCCTGAAAACTTTCTCTATTTCCCTGAAATTTCTCTAAGTTCTTTTTAAAAAGAACTTAGAGGATTTTGGGTGTTTTCCTACGGTGAAAATGCTGCTCTTTTGAAGCCAAAAGCATGGATTTTGATGCAATTTTCACCGTAGATATTTCTGAATTTCAGTTTTTCTACGATGAAAAATGGGCTCAAAAGTATTGTTCTGGCCTCAAAAGTGCTTGATTTACATCGTAGATATTCTGGAAAAATCCTCTAAGTTCTTTTTAATAAGAACTTAGAGAAATCTCAGGGAAATAGAGAAAGTTTTCAGGGAATTAGAGCTTCACCCGGACTAAACATGTTTTGGCTTTATTTAATTCCAAAAAAAAACTAAAATCTTATTTCTTAAGCTGGAAAAGAAAAAAGGGAGAACACTTTCTCTACTTTATTGATTTCTCTAAGTTCTTTTTAAAAACATCACTTCCTTGTGCCAAAGGAAAATTTCTCGAAGTTCTTTTGAAAAAAAACTTGCAGAAAATTCCCTTGCTTGTGCCAAAGGAAAATTTCTCTAAGTTCTTTTTGAAAAGAAGTTAGAGAAAATTCCCTTGCTTGTACCAAAGGAAAATTTCTCTAAGTTCTTTTTCAATAGAACTTAGAGAAATTTTCCTTGACTGTCCCAAAGGAAATTTTCTCTAAGTTCTTTTTCCCTTGCTTGTGCCAAAGGAAAATTTCTCTAAGTTCTTTTTAGAAACATCACTTCCTTGTGCCAAAGGAAAATTTCTCTAAGTTCTTTTTAAAAAGAAGTTAGAGAAAATTCCCTGCTTGTGCCAAAGGAAAATTTCTCTAAGTTTTTTTGAAAAAAACTTGGAGAAAATTCCCTTGCTTGTGCCAAAGGAAAATTTCTCTAAGTTCTTTTTAAAAAGAAGTTAGAGAAAATTCCCTTGCTTGTACCAAAGGAAAATTTCTCTAAGTTCTTTTTCAATAGAACTGAGAGAAATTTTCCTTGACTGTCCCAAAGGAAATTTTCTCTAAGTTCTTTTTCCCTTGCTTGTGCCAAAGGAAAATTTCTCTAAGTTCTTTTTAAAAAGAACTTAGAGAAAAATTCGGGAAGTAGAGACACTTTTGGGACCTAGCGATTTCTTTTTCGGAAAATCATCCCAAAAAATTCGCGAGCATTCCCGCGGGGGGGGGGCCAACCCCCAAGGCGAAAAAAATTCTTCCGCGCTTCGCGCGGCCGAACCAAAAAAAAAACTGTAGTTTTTTTGTCAATGGAACATTTCTCTTTTTAAAAAGAACTTAGAGAAAATTCCCTTGCTTGTGCCAAAGAAAAGATTCTCTAAGTTCCTTTTAAAAAGAACGTAGAGAAAATTCCCTTCCTTGTGCCAAAGGAAATTTCTCTAAGTTCTTTTTAAAAAGAACTTAGAGAAATTTCACTTGCTTGTGTCAAAGGAAAATTTCTCTAAGTTCTTTTTTAAAAAAACTTAGAGAAAAATTCGGGAAGTAGAGAAACTTTTGGGACCCAGCGATTTATTTTTCGGAAAATCCTCACATTATATCATAATATAGAAACCATAATATATGTATATAACAATGTATACAATAACAACATATATTACAAAATAAATAGTTTAGTAAATAAATAGGTAACTCAATAAAAAAAAATATATTTATGTATAGCAATAAGTCTTATAATATAATATGATAACGTTACATAATAACACTCATCATCATCATCTTCATCCTGGCACCCCAAGCCCTCCTCATGCCCCCTGGGACCAATCAAGGCACCGGCAATCTGCACACCGCCCAACTATTGGCTGCCAAGCTGGCCCCAAAGACGGAAGTCAGGGTGGCACCGGCGGGGAAGCAGCAGAATGCCTGTGACTGCGGAGTGTTCGCTCTGCTGCTTGGAGCTGAATCAGCCTATTTTTATTTTTTTTGGTAGTAGTAGTAGTGGTGGTAGTAGTAGTAGTAGTCATATTTTGAACAGTATTTTGAACATAAGAATATGAGCAATCTTTTTGCCAGATTGGGCTAGCTAGTCACAGGTTCAATATGATTTCCCCGAAATGCTGGTGATTGGATCGCGCGAAGAGTGCTTCACAACTTTGTCGCAACTGGAGTCTACTTGATGTTTTTCATTGGGGAAAGGACACTCCCTATAGATCCCTATAGTCTCTAGCTATTGCATATTGTGCTCGAAAATGCTCGAAACAGTTTTTGTACATGAATATCACGAACGACATCATCCCTGGGACTGCAACGGGAGAGGTGGCAGTGCCCCTCAGTACGTCATGCGTGGTACTGGTACCAAGGCTTTTCGCCGAAGCATTGTGTCGCGACAAGGATCCAAAGGATGTCACCCAAGCGCAGGCAGGTTTTTGTTCTCGCTAACCTGATGGGTACAGGCTTTATGGATCAGTCATCCACTTTCATATCCGGAGACATTTCATGCCTTTCAACTGCACCATTTGACCATTTTATGTCATTTTAATCCTCCTTCAAAATTTAGCTACGTAAAGGGGAGGACTTGGGCTACAGTACAGAATGCCAGCCAGGGGTCGTTTTGTACAAAAAGGAGGAGTTGGGACCACCTTTTAGTATTTGCATTCATTTTGTAGTTGATTCCTTTCAAATCCTCATTTGCATTTTGTAGTTGTATATGTTGAAGTGAGAAGAGGTGGGAAAAAGGAAACAGTGCGTGACATGTACATGGACACAAACAGATCATGAAGCTACAGAATGCCATCTAACAAACTGCACGGGGTCAACACTTGATCCAGCTAAATTCAATCATTGACAACTACAAAATGTTCTCCGAAATTATGTTGGTCGGAACTTTGGATGGCATAGACCCAACTACAAAATGTCATTGGGAAAAATCATGTTAGCAATTCAGCTATTTTTTTAACTTCAGATGCATTGGATTTTGTAGTGCTGATTTTGAATTATTTTCCGACTCAGAAAAGGTTGTGTTCTGTATTTTGTAGCTGCAAAAAAGGTACCATGCACTGAATTTTGTAGTTGCGCAGCGTATGCATTGCGTTTTGTACCTACCAAAAGCCTCTGCACAACTCCTCCCCCCTTATCTGAACCATGATTCATTTTATAGTTTATCATCTCTGAAAAAAAACTGTTCAAGCATTCCGAGTCCAATTCTTGGTAGTCTTTATTTTGCTTTGATCATCTTATATCATCTTCAATCATCTATGATGTTAGATTCTTAAATCATCTATGACCCATAGGATCCATGTATGCTATATATGGTAACATGAATCCCATCAATATACCCCAGTCATGTTAGCATATATACCAGCACCATGGATCCTATGGGTGATAAACAGTCAGAACTTTTCAGAATCCAGGAAACTCCAGCTGTTCAATCGCTCCAGCTACAGGCAGAGGCGGCCAGAAAGCACATGGCCAGCCACATTTGGCGCCTGGCAAAACCGTAGGAATTTCTGTAGCTGTTGGAGCTGCCCAAAGGAGGCAGAAGAGTTGGACATCCAAAAAGTTGGGACGTTAGGCACTGCTTTGGAGCGAATTTTGGATAGGCTATGGTTCTGCTATATTCTGGCACTGGTTATAGATATTCTTAGATGTTGAAGTTCTTGCATGATGATGCTTGATTTGATGTGCGGATACTTGGTGATTTTCTTCTGAACAGTCCGTAGATACCGTTGTACATGAAAGGGACCACCGAAGTGCTATGGGGTTCCTGGAACGAGCCAAGCTCTGCTCACAGCCATTCTTGAATGCGTCACCTGAAAGCAGGCTACAAATTGAGACTGCAATGGGAACTGGATCTATAAATGGGAGAGTTTTCATCCGTCCCATCATGGAAATCCCGCCAAAAAAATCTGCAACTTCTTCTCTTTAACCTTGAAGACGATGAAAGATGTTTGATATTCCGTAAGAAACACTTGGTAGTACCAGTTTTGTGCCCCATTTTCTGGATCGATGATCGATTGCTCCCCGACTTTTGAGCAACCTGGTGATGTGCCATGAGACGCAAGGGTCAACTAGACACTGCCGAAAAGGTGGCGGAGGCCCAGGTGATTTGGTTTCCTGGATGCATCAAAGAGGTGGTACCTGGTATAGGGGGAAGCATAAAACAAGTGGCTTTGGCTGTATGATTGTTGCAAAGTGTCCAGACATTTGCAATGACCGATGATTTTGTTGGACTTTCCAACGTCATTCAGTGTCACATCCGAGGTTTTTTTCAGGCTTAGTATTCAAACCATCATGCAACGGTCAGTTGATGAGATGTCCAAGGTGGCAGAAATTTGCCTTGGCCAGATTTAGCAGGTCCACCAGTTTCTTGATCGGATTCACAGAGGGATCAGCTTCGGCGGATGGATGGTTGGTTTCATTCCTTTCAGAATGGCCGATGTCTCACAGCTAACCATGAACCAAAACCATCCAAAACTAGTGGTAAACCTGGCCCACCCAGAAATGGATTTAATATGGATAGACATTTCATGACATTTCTAGACTTCCAAATCATATGGATAGACATTTCTATAGACTTCCAAATCCTCCTGCAGCTTTCTGGCGCCACCAAGGTTTCAACCTCCTCTGCACCTGGGCCACGTTGCTGGTCTTCATCACCACCCTGGCGGACGCCTGGATCATCCTGGATCCATTCGCGTTGAAATCCGATGGCCTTTAAAAGACACCGTGGTAAAGCCCAAAAGCCCAAGAAACATGTGATTTTACATGGTGTAAAGCTCCCTGAAGTGAGTTTTTTTTGGGATCTAACCATACTTAACCCTTGAATGATGAGTTGTTGATGGTGTTTCACGTCTGTGGTAAACCCAAAGCATTCACCATCCCCAATGACTTAGCCATTTCAATGGCTCGTACGAAGAAACAAATCATGCAAAATAGGACCCTCATGTAAATCATTGTGAATCATAACATATGATAAAATATGGGTGTGTCTGAAAATGAGATATACCATGATATAGCCTCCAAAGGCTGCTGTTTTAATAGAGACAAGCAATGGATTCAGTTGGGTACCTTATTTTCAGACAAACCATATATGGATTGTGGATGTGTGGTCACCTCTGTCTGGACCTGGCCGCCCCGGATTTCTTTGAGGAGTCCAGTGATGCTTGAGTTTCCCTACGCAGCATTGACTATCATCCATTGGTTCATCATGATTTTCCCTCTTCAAATGGCCATAATATGCCATAATTATTGATCTGGGGTCTTCAGACACCCGGTCGTGTGAAGACGGGTCAACCTGCTCAGTGATTGACATGGCCCCATGTTGGAATGGTCGCTGAGGAATGTTCGTCCAGCACTGCGTATGGAAAGTTTGGCCACGAGAGCATCTTTTCCGTGCCACCCAAAGTTGGATGGTGGCTCATGGATCCTTGGCTAGGACAAGCTGGGAAAGGAAAGGTTAGTCAGCACCTACTGGTCAAATGTGGACACAAGGATGATGCCTGTAGAAGACAGACACAAAGTTTCTTGTGCGACGCATCTTACCCTTCCCATTTATAGAATCTCTATTTCCTCCTTTTATCCATGAGTTTACCCTACCTCTGTGCTGTACATTAGAGACACACTATGCAAGTCCCACAGGGATTCGAACCTTCCCCGCACACGCCATAGCCACTGCAGCCTCGATGACACTGGAGGAAGTGCCTGTGACGATGTCCTTTTTGTACTCCTTCTTTTGGCTTCCTGGAGGCATCATTCTGGGTGCAATCTTGCCATCTCACAAGAACCTCACCATAAATTGATTGAATAGCTGTAATCATGCTATTCACGATCAGTACTTCATTATTGATAATGAATATAGTTAGCTGGATAACAGCTCTTCAAAGCTAGAAACACATTAGAAACCGCCCGAATTCGTGTTTCCTTTTCTTCAACAGAATCACTCGGCCGGTGGATTTTTCAAAGGCAAGGTCTGGTTGAGCTGGTCGATGTCACGACCACAGTTCCAAGCAGTTGGCCTCAATCAAACATGGCAACCGTTTTCCCTCAGTCGTACATGATCTGCCTAGCAAACATATATTCAAAGATGCAAATTTTTACTTGACCAATTTTTTGGGGTACAGGAGGTTCACAAAAACTTCGAGGTGTCGAAACCCGAAACCTTCGTTTTGTCGATGTTGCTGCTTCCTTCTGAGGCTCCCCGGCCCACAAAAGCATGAAGTCGCACCCAGGATCTGTGCAGCAGCTGCTCGGGCAGGTTGAATGGGACGCGGGAAATCGAAGGGCCGTCTGAAAACTTAGGTGAAAACCACCTAAGACCCCAAGTTGATCTATAATTTATCCACATTTCCACGGTTTATCATCATGTTAACATATTGGTTCATCATGGTTCATCATTTTCTCCAATCACAGATGGTTTAATATGTTTATTGATGGTTTCTCATCATTTTCTCATCATTTTCTCATCATTTTCTCCGCCCTAAACTTGCGACTGGAGAAAAATGGGTCCCGTCGAGGTGATGTGCCTGCACTACAGCTACCGCGGCTGGATCTATCCATATCTGCTGCGCAGCTTGGAAGAAACGATTTATGGTCTTGGATGGTTTTGGTATTTGAAAAGATCCCATGATGTCCATGATGGACCCCAGGATTTTGGATGTGTTTTTTTGTCGGCAATGTGAATGACAATGTTAACGGATATGTTTGGATGATTTTGGATGTTTTTGGGTGCTGTTATGAACACATTCTGTCAAATGTCTGACGCTTTTCTTTTTTTTTTGCATGGTTTGCTTATGTTTGCTTGAACTTTATTTCAGGCCAATTGGTTGGGCTCAAAAAATGGAGGTTTCCAAAGTCATGGGGATACCCCAGTCATCATCCAAGTCATTGGACCATGACTTAGAATAGGTTAACAGCCATGATTTTATTGTAGGATTCCCCCCAAAAAAACCCGCAGAAACCACGTTTTCCGGTTGCTAGTGGTTGGGTTTCTGAATCCTCCAAGCTGAATTCCCCAATGGTTCTGATTGCTTCAAGCTTCCCAGGACCTCACCCCGGTGCGCGCAGCAATTTTTCGTTGATGCCAGCCTTGGGAGGTTGGTTGGTGACCATCACACATGGCTATCTCAACGGCAGGCGAGAGCGAATCGAAAAAGATCCATCCATTGGGACGTCAAAAACAACAGCTTGATGTTATTTTCCCTAACAGCTTTGAAATATCTATAAAAGGGACTTCACAGACTGGTGGATCTGGTCGGGATGCTCACAATCAGAATCCACCTCAAGAGGTAATGTTTGACGTGGACTTCACATGGACTTGGATTCAACATCGTGGAAGATGTTCTTTGTACATGTTGAAAGATTGCATTTTTATGCATTTTTCATGCTTCAAGCAGCATATGTTTCATCGCCATGATTATGAATAGTTATTATAGACTATATGTATTTTATATGGGTATGAATTGACATCAAATTGTGCATATTACCAGAAGTATATGCTACTTAATTATTACCAGAAGTATTATCATTATTGTTACCATCATGATGATATTATTATTACCAGAATCAAATTAATTATATCACTTAATCGAATCACTAATATTCAATTATAATCAATTACCAAAGTTCATTGAGTCACCTCAGATTTTTTGGTACTCACCACCATATATAAATATTTCCGCAACGTCGTAGATACAGCAGGTGGTTTGCAGAACACGGCCGGCATTTGTGCAGATGCTGGGCACGGCAAGTTCATTTTTGAATAGGTGTTTTTGATAGGTGTTTAGCTAGTTTTAACATCTTTTAATAGTTTTTTTGACTAGTTTTTTCTCCGGAATAATTTTAATAGGTGTTTCAACATGTTTCAAAGGCGTTTAGATCGATGTTTAACATTTTTTGACTAGCTTTAACAGGTGTTCGGATAGGTTCTTCATTAGTTTGTAAACTCTTTTACTAGGTTCTTAACTAGTTCTAACAGTTTTTTTGATAGGCATTACAGCCACAAATCAGGTAGGCTAGGGCTAATTGGGGCTAATTTTTCCAGAATGCTCAGAATGCTGCATGTGACAGCAGCAAGGAGCCCGTGCGGAGAATCGAAATCGACATAGCCAAAAGGAGCGGTTTGTTAAACTTGAAGACCCATGAAGATCTCTGCCAGTTCACATTGCTTTGATTAATCCTCATTTTTCATGTTTGGTAATCCATCTTATTTGAGAGTATCCATTTCTGACCGCTTCCAATATGGATCAATATTGGGTTCGAATATCCCTATGGTGCGTACATAGCTTCGTCAAAGTCAAAAGCCTGCCTTCGGGGAGATGATCCCAGCACTTTTCGGCCTTACGAAATGGTCAACGTTTGGAAAATCCCTGCCATCAGGACAGTCGTGGCTGAGAGATCCGCGATTCCTGCTGGGTTTGCTGCTCTACTTCTCTGGCTTCGTGGCTTTGGATCTCTGGCTCTGTGGGTTAGTGGGAAATGACCCATACATCACTGGGCTTGCTTGGTGTATCATGCGTATCACATTTATACAGAGTTGGAAGCATGACTAGCAATGAACCACTTACTAACTGGGATATCTGGGATGTACATCCAAATACCAATATACGAAGTATTTTTGTATTGAGGACATGTTTAAGCACCTATGTCTACAGTATATAACATGGACAATTTTACAAGATATGTAAAATGAAGAAGCTCCCAAATGCATGCAGGCGTTTGTTGTAGACACAGGCATATGCCAAGAATCAGGTAGCCCAAAAAGTGGAAAGGCTATATCATGTCCGAATCTCATCATCCTCATCATCATCATCGTCGTCATCATCGTCATCATCGTCATCATCGTCATCATCATGATGGACCACTACCTCCTCGCGGGCAGCGGGCACTTACACTCGGCCACATCTCAGAGTCCCGGTTGTTTCTTGCTACTTGGTTTTGTAAATCACAATACGTAACCCCAGACCGGGCGTGCGGTCGGAGGGAGCGTGCCCGGGCCGATGTGCAACTCAGGCATACCTCCACCATACGCCTAAAACAGAATGGGGCTGGTTGTTGGGAGGAACTGTTGGTTCATTATAAGTATTGTATGTATGTATGCATGCATGTAAATATAAATATATATCTGTATAAGTATATGTATGTATTGGTTAAGCATCACAATTGGATGAGCCCGATATACTGGATTATGTGTTCGGATTATGGGCGTTGTATCCAACTGATACATTTCAAATTATCAGTGGTTTCTCATGCTAGGATGGCAATACTTTGACATGCTGTGCCATGTCAAAGTTTGAACGCACCAGCAGGATCCATGGAAGAGCTTCGTGGATGGCATTTATTGATTGCCACGAGCATGTGTCGCAGTTGATTCAGCTAGATATCCTTGCTTCTTTGCTCCGGGCCAAGGACGGGATGGGAGGGGAGTCAACACAAGGATTCTTTTGCACGGAGAAATTCAAGCTGGAAGTGAGTTCCTACACAAAGTGAAAACCTACAGGATCGCTCTCGCAACGCGCTTGTTGGCTCAAATCTGGTCCTGTCTCACACCTCCACTGGCGTGATGCCTCTGTTACCTTTTTACTTGCTCCAGAAGCCTCTGCGTCAGACCAATGTGTTGACATGCGTGGGTGCTTTCATCTACCAACTTCCTCAGGAAGGGCATCTTGCCGAGGTTCACGATCAGGAGGAGGAAGATGAGGGCACGGACCTTGGAAGATTTGGTGTTCAATTAAGTCTTAAGGCTAAGTTTTGTAGAACAAACTTCAAGAGTCGCCTGGGATGAATTGCTAGGTTTCTGGGGCCCTAGGTAGCACCATTGCATAAATACATAAATACATGCATACATACATTATTCCCCACATCTCTTAGTGGGGTTCTTATTTTTCTTTTGGCATCTACCGCCCTCCCACCTTCCTCCCTCCCTCCTCCCGCCTCCGTCTCCGTCCCACTTTTCACTTTGTCACATACTTACTTCTCAGACACAACTTGGTCACACACTGACTTGTCACATACAATTTTGTCACATACTAACTTGTCACATACAACTTTGTCACATACTAACTTTGTCACACACAACTTTGTCACATACAGTCTTGTCACACACAACTGTGTCACACACTTACTTCTCACATACAACTTTGTCACACACTAACTTGTCACATGCAACTTTGTCACATACTAACTTGTCACATACAACTTTGTCACACACTAACTTGTCACATACAACTTTGTCACATACAGTCTTGTCACACACAACTGTGTCACACACTTACTTCTCACATACAACTTTGTCACACACTAACTTGTCACATGCAACTTTGTCACATACTAACTTGTCACATACAACTTTGTCACACACTAACTTGTCACATACAACTTTGTCACATACAGTCTTGTCACACACAACTGTGTCACACACTTACTTCTCACATACAACTTTGTCACACACTAACTTGTCACATGCAACTTTGTCACATACTAACTTGTCACATACAACTTTGTCACACACTAACTTGTCACATACAACTTTGTCACATACAGTCTTGTCACACACAACTGTGTCACACACTTACTTCTCACATACAACTTTGTCACACACTAACTTGTCACATGCAACTTTGTCACACACTTACTTGTAACACACACAACTTTGTCACATACAGACTTGTCACACACAACTTTGTCACACACTACCTTGTCACGTGTTTTGCGTGGCAGGCGTGGCACTTCGTGACATCCACCTTCACTTTGTGTGGCAGGCGTGGCACTTCGTGGCATCGACCTTCACTTTGTGTGGCAGGCGTGGCACTTACGGCACTTTGCTGGCTCACACACAGCTTTGTCACACACAACTTTGTCACATACAACTCTTTGACACACAGCTTTGTCACACACAACTTTGTCACATACAACTCTTTGACACATAACTTTGTCACACACACACACCTCTTTCACACAATCTGTCTTCCACCATCTCCTTTACCTTTCCTGCCTTTCCCATCCCATCTTCTTCGCTGCTTTGTGCTTTTGGAAGAAGTTGACATGTGGGGTTATCCGGTCCTATAATTTTGTGTGATAGGTGCAGAACTTCGTCTGACCTGGCTTCACTTTTTCGTGGCAGGCGCAGTACTTTAGAAACACGTAAGGACCATATATAGTGTACAGACTATTGGCAGTCAGCCACCTCATCCCCACATGGTGCAGGAGCGGAAAGTTGGCCCACACAATGGAGGAAGTAAAACATGCAGAACCGCTTTTTGTGTTGTCCACAGTGTCGGATTTTGTTGGTCGTGCCAACGAACACAAAACGGAAGGTTTTAGGGTATGTGACATGGCCCGGGCTCCATGTGATTTCAGGGTTTAAAGATTAAGCCTGACTCCAACAGATTCGCTCAAAGATGAACCCTTGTTTTAATTCACGAAAGACTTTTCCTTTACCCTTTTTCTTTGCGTTTGTGTACCCGGATCCACCCCTGGTCACATGAGAGTTTTGCTCCAAAGCATGCAATCACGCAGGTGACCACACGACATTCTAATGTATTCACATATATCTCTGTGACCAACTCGCCCCACACAAAATCATTCAGCGCATAGCCTTAACGGAGTAAATCATAGGAGAGGCTACCTTTCAATGCGAGGTCGACGCGCTCATGGCACTTCGTCTATGGCACATGGACTTCAAGCATGTCTTGGCTACCATTGGCGCTCACATCATCATCAGCATCATCATTATCATCATCATCATCATCACCATCATCATCATCACCATCATCATCATCATCATCTTTTGAAGGAACTTCTTCAGTTATGGCATAGCCGGGAGGATATCCTGAGAATATGAAACCATCCTTTTGCTGGCTGGGTTAAGGTCTACCACGACTACTTGGTGAGGGACTTGAGGTCGTCTCCCGGACCCAGGTGTCCTGGTGGAGGATATGTGGAGCTTCGAAAATCCATTGGATTTTACTATATCATAATCATGTTCCATATTAAAATAGCCAATATATTGGGTATACCATGGTATACCCCATGATATTGGAAACAAATTGTTCACCCACTCAGGGCCGGCATCGGTGGATTTGTTTTTTTTGGAGTTTGTTGGACTCACCGAGAGTGGCAACCCATCACCTGGGCCGAGGTACCGAATTCCACACGGAGGATTTTTCGACTATGCCACGCAAGCGGTTTATTTCTGTGAGTCTTTTGGCAACTGTGGCGACTCCTTAGGTTCAATTGGAGCAATGTCTTCTGACAAAAAACTGTTCGTGCTGTCTCCGGTCTGCTTGATCTCTTCGCCAGACCTTTTGGATATGGGTTAATTTCGAACACCCCAAATCAACATGGATGGTTTGATACCATTTGATACCAAGAATCACTAGTTTTGTGGGTCCATTGGTCCCCCGGTCTCTGCTCATCCCCGTTTGTGGTGCTTGCGTGCAACTGAGGCTTTGGACGTGGCTGGGTTTTTTTCTTCTCAGATTCTTGGTGGTGATTCAGGAACACTTCGCAATGCCAAGAAGAGACATAATCACTGGGGTTCTCACCATGACTGGGAAAACATGGTTTTAGATTGTATTGTTTGATAGTGGGAAGTATAGCTGATATAATTATATATATATATATGTATTATATTATATATATCATAAATACCATACTATGACTGGGTATGAAAGTGGCGGCATAGATATCGGAGAGTGTAGGTCTATGTTCTGGATGGGCAACCAAGGTAAACGAATACGTTCTTCTATCATTCACTAGATGATGGTCCATTTCAGGATTTGTGGAAACCTTGCAACTCTTGCGTCCACCTGGTTATTTTTTGGCATACCCATGCGAAGCTTATATCACATCACCCAATTTCATCCATTTTAGTGTTCTACTTGCAGGACCATCCCACTTAAAAACTGATAGAAACTAATTAGGACGGTAGAGAACTATATGTACCATATATTCATATAGGTGTACTAGTATATATAGAGTATCTCTGGCTTGCACGCTAGCTTGTAATTGTAGAACAGTAGAGCCCGCGCTACCTGAGGTTGGGGACCCAATGGCCTCTTTATATTCCTGGTCTCTGCTGGCAACTTGATCCCAAGGTGCGAGCAAAAAGGGGGACACAACTGGATGAATCAAGGGGAACTGCAAATAACTGGGAAAATCAATGGAATATACAAGCATTAATAAATGGAAAATCCTCATAAACGGAGGTGTTAATGGAAGATCATCGATAGATGACGAGTTTGATTACTGGAGGGTTCCCTGGGGCAAGAAATACAGAAAAATGCGGAAAACACATGGTGCGACCCTATGAAAATGATCTACATACATGGTAGTTTACAAGAGGCAAAGCATCAAGGGAGATGGAAATTCAAAATCTCAAGATTCAGTGGGAAAAAGATAGGATAATCATCTATATTCAATAATTCCCCTGGATATAATCTGGATAAATGACAACGACCTTTCTGCGACTTCACTATATGGTAAGCAGTACTGTAACCTGTAACTCCCAGAATGGCCTTCCTTCAGGTTGATGAAGTATTGTAATTTATCCAGAACAATAACTGGGGGGATCTATATAAGCATGAATCAATAGGCAACTGCATTCATTTGGGGATAGTTCTAGCCTGTAGGGTACCTCTTTGAACCTGCAATTTAGCGATGTTTGATATAAAACCAGCAAATTTTGGGAGTTGTAATTTTGAGACATACCATGACATAGTGTGTATACTTTGAGGGGATGTTCTTCAACTCGGCTATGTTTTTGATATTTATAAAAACATATTCCGGTCCGTATTTTACTTGCATATTTTTTGGGACCTCTTTGGACATTGAAGCATCCATTTTTGACAACAACTTCATCCATACGCTTGGCACAGGAGCGTTGCCTCTCACCAGTGGTATTTGAAGACCTTTGGTGATGAGTTCCTTGGCCAGCCAGTGGTGACATCCCTAATATGTCCCTAATGATCCCTAATATATGGTCATTCTTGGGTGAAAGTGATGATCAACTTTAGGGAAGTACCGTATTTCCAGACAAACCAATATACGTTCCGGGTGCTCAATGCAGATGGTGCCAACATCATCATTGCTATGTCAATGTCCAGGTATCCGTGATGGTCACATGGTACATCCGGCACTGCAATCAAGCGCTTTCATTCGAAGGATTGGTGAAGGACTGGTGAAGGTCGAACACTATGTTTATTGCATCGTATTTGTAACAAGGGTGTGGCTGTCAACATCTGTCAACAGTTTGACAAACCGACAAAGGCTGAAGGTGCTTGAAGCTAAGACCACGGAGGCACATATAATTCATATAATTCGAATTTGCCAATCATCAGAGAATGTTCAAATTCCGCAGACTTCACTTATAACGTTATAACACTTTCTGTTCAGAGAATGTCAACAAATCTCGGACGAATAGAAAGGCGTGGGATGACGTGGACAGTACTTGGACGGCCAGAGCGAGGTATGCCAAGCTTGGACGCGCCTACCTTGTGCCATTTGTATGGTGATGGGAAAACACTTGGCGGCCGAGCAGCTCCGGTTGAAACAATAAGGGGCTGCATCAAAGCACAACCAGCTATGATTCCATAAAAGCAATGAAAAACGGTGCACCAAACATGAATAAACTACAGTAGGTTGTTGGAGTTTCCATGAAATTGTTCGAATATCAGATTGTATGGATATCCATTAAATGAATGGTTCCTAATATGCTGTGAATATCCAGACTCTGGTCTGGAATCCAGACAATTTACAGTTTCCATACTTAGTCTCAATCAAACCATATTCAGGAACCATTATATTCTCATTCCAACATTTTCCAAATGATATATATTTATTATTTATCAAAAGCTAATTCATCCTAATTCATTATTCATTGATACCCTCTGGTAATTTGTTACATAACTATTGAAAATTGCCATAGAAACAGCTGATTTACCGATTCAAAATGGTGGATCTTTCCAGTTCGCAAACTGTTAGTTTACCAGAGGCTAACTTTCTTGATGTATACCATATGAAAACCAACAGGGCCATGCACGTTTGCCAGGTCGCTTTAGTTCCATGGATCATGCTGATGCATCCACGGTGGAAGCCCCGTGGGCGCTGTTGCGGCTGGGAGATTGGATCATCAAAGATGGGAATTTTCATCGAAAAACACCTGGCATGAAAAACATCATTTAATCAATCATACATTAAATAGTTCATATTTCATATTTTTCCCAACACTCGGACAGTTCGACAGTTGGATTATACCAGGCCTATGCCGTCGTTGAAACCATCCCAGGTTCCCTAGGACACAGATATATTCGGTAGCAGAAGCCATAGGTTTTCGATCGGTTTTCCTCAACCCAAATCTTGGATTTGCTGAAGATGTGTCTTTTTTTTCCCCCATTGAAGTTAAGTTAATCCATCAATTTGGGGAATCTACTAGGTTCATGTTCATTTTCTTGGGTCTAGCAAATCCAAGAAATGGATGTCGTTTTTCTTGTTCAACTCCTGATTTTTATGTTGGTTAAAAGCCCCGAAAGTTGCTGGTCAGCTATCCATTTCTCCTGCTGAAACCACCATTCTTCACCCAATAAAGAATCCATGTTTGTTTGATGCTCAAATTGCTGATGTTTCTTGAGATGCCACTCTTTTTTTTTAACCACCACCCCATGTCCCAGTCAAATTCTTCACCCTGCCCGCAGGGCTATGGCTCCCCAGAGACGAGGAGTGATGGACTGGACTGGGACATGGCTATGATGTGGCAGATCTCGGGGTTTCCTCACATGGGGGGTAGCCTAAAATGGATGGTTTATAATGGAACTTCCTATTAAAATGGATGATTTGGGGGTCCCCCTATTTTAGGAAACCCCCATGTGGGTTTAGCTATGATATACCATGATTATAATATACATTTTAATATACATGAAATAGACAGAATCTACTGAAGGTGCAAAAACAATGCACCATTTGACATCCCCATTTTCAAGATTGGAGTTTGCCATACCATTTTCTCCAGAATGACTATATATATATATATATGCATATATATATGCATATATATGACATATATATATATAATATAGAAATAATGCAGTCCAGGTGCTGATTTTCCGGTGGTTCCTCGATTTTTGGTGATCCGACGGGGTCATCCCGTTCAGGTGCGCGTGGTCGTGCGGATCCCGGTGGTACAGGGGATGCTGACAATATCAGGGGTGATTGGTGCATGTTGGGGATTTAATACGTAAATGTTCAACTAGTTCATTTAGTGTATATATATACATATACATATCTTTGGAGTTAATTTAATCATCATCATCATCATCATAATCATTTATATATATGTATATATATATATACTAAATTAACTAGTTGATTGGGCGTGATTTGTCCACCCACAATAGGGATACACATTTACCAATCAGTATACAAAGTGTTGGGATAGGCTTAGATATCATTATATGGGGATGGGTCAAAACCTATGAAATAAACATATGAGTGTGGGAAATCAACATGCATCCAAACCATCTATTATAGGGTTAGCTCCTAATACATAGCCATCTCATGGCATGTTTCTCGATGCTCCCATGACCGGATCCCAGGGCAACAGGATCACGCGTCGTGACCATCAATGACTTGGGCCGCTTGTCAGAGGGCACGACCACCTTGGAGGGGTTGCTCCATTGCACAATATTTAATAGTCAGCGCATGACTATATAATATATACATGATATCATTATTATATATATATATATTTATGTCATTATTATATGATTGTTTTATCATTATAACATTAAATCATTATATCATTAAATCATTTTATCGTTATATCATTATATCATTATGTATCTATCGATCTATCTATCGATCTATCGATCTATCTATTTGTCTATCTATCTATCGATCTATCATCTAGCTATATAACTATCTTATCTTATCTTATCCTACCCTATCTGATCTTATTCTATCTATCTGTCTATCCATCTATCTATCTATCTATCTATCTATCCATCAATGTATGCATACATACATACATACATACATACATACACACACACACAGTTATTTGACCATATCCATGTATGACTATATCCATACATGTATACAACAGCCAGAGCCAATATATGACTGTATCTGTATCTCTCTCTCTATGTTTATATATGTATATGATTGTATATGTATATATGTAAAATGTATGAAGCCAGATCCACGTTTCAGTCAGGCTTGGACTTTGGTCTCAGCGCTGCTCTCAGGACGTTTGAAGTCCTGACCCAGTGATGGTACGTCTCCAACTGTATGGTGAATGGGGAACAATGGTTATATGAACCATAAAAAAGAACGGTTTAATTTCTGTAACTATACTGGTGATATATATATATATTGATATAAGCAAATATAAAGAATATAATAGTTATAGAATATGATAATGCCTATAACGATTATGTATTCAATATAATTCAACATATATATATAATGTGATAAACCCAATAATAATCCTACCATTTGGGGATGGTTTACACAGTCCATTTATGGTGATTTTGGGAATGTTTCATTATTGGGATTTGACTGACTACGATCAATGGTGATATATAACTACTGATCAATGAGGGTACATATACAACTAATTAATCAGTCAATGGGGTACTTGATGGTCATATTCCATCATGGGGATATAACATGGTGTATATATATAGATATGGACTATATAACCAATGATGATGCTGGTCCTGGTTGGTAGTATCAAACGTGGCTAGCTGGGAAATTCGGCACTAAATGGAGGTTTCAAAGGCAAAATCATCCTAGCCATGTTTTATTACCACAGGGTATGTTCCCTATTATTTAATAATGGAAAAAATGAGGTCTAAATCCATCAAAAACCAAACCCATTTAGGAATAGAATAGATCAAACTTGCTTGTGATCGTCTCTGCAAATCAGGCTATGTAGATCATGATATTTTTTTTTGGTCGAACCTTCAGATGGACTCGTTTTGAAAAGGTGCTTCGTCATCCCATCCGTGCGTCCTGTTTGAGGTCGTATTCCACCTCGTTGAGGCAAGGCTTGGCTTTCCGGCCGTTTCCGGCCAGGTTTGGGCAGATCATCTCCGATATGGCCTCGATGGCCTGGAGATTTTTTTGGCATTTCAACATACCCTCTGGTAATTTAACGTAGCTATTGAAAGTGGCCATTTATAGTGGATTTTCCCATGAAAAATGGGTGGATCTTTCCATAGCTATGTTAAATTACCAGAGGGTATTTCAAGCCCCAAAATCACCTGATTTTCTCCCAACATTTCTGGCTCACCATCTGTGTCTCGTTGTGAGGTGGGCGGATGGATCAAAGCTCGAAGCCCGAAGCGGAACCGAAAAAAGAAATGGCCGCGCCCAAGGAGAAATGGCCATTGCAATGGGCGAAGTCCTTGGCTTCAAGAAAAATGGGTTGTTTCACTGATGATCACTGAAGATGGAACATGTTGTAAACTGAGCCTAGACTGGAAGAGCAAGATCTTCCGTCTGATTTTGCCATGTTTTGAGAAGCCAAAGAAGTTGAAGTCATAGTGAGGGTGGCATGTCAAGCATCCACCCCAGCTGGAGCTTTGCTCACCGTATAGCTTGGCTGATGGCTCTGTGGCTGTAATCATATAGTATGTATATTTGTGTGTATATATATATAAACATGAGTATGTAGAGGTAGGATCACTAATCATCAGAAATGGCCAAAAAAGGCCACGTTGATGGGGAAAATGATGACAAAACATGAGATGGAATGCAAAAATCCTCCAATACTTTCATGATGTGATCATGGGCCAGCATATTGGCAATTGTTGTCGATGAAGATGCTGAAGCACTACCCCAGTTCGCAAAGAAGCCACCGCAAGGGGGTGTAGACTACAGCTACTTAGCTTACACCAGGAGAGTGTTTGCGATCGTGACTGCCCCATTCTGAAAATTGGGTCCATGGCACAAGATTCCATATAGTGCCATTTTATGGGTACTTCGGTACTACGGTGCCCCCCCATTTTCTGACAAGATCATTTGTTTCTTTGGACTTGCACAGCTTGGGGGCCTCTTGATGTACAAAAAGTACTCGGTCCATACCCGTGTAATCCAGCAAGGAAAAAAGCCTCATGGTAGCTCAAGATCAAAACACAGCTGTTGGATACCAACATCAAAAACCGATTTCTCAAGCAACCCCCCAAAAAAAGGCATGTGTGGCATGTGTGGCATTCTTGGGATGCGAAAACAACGATGACCGGCCACGAAATCAGAGCATCTACAGCCAAGAAATCGTCAAATTTGACAAAGTCCTTGGGGCCCGGCAGCGGGCACCGGGCGCGACGGTCCTGGTGAAGCCGGGAGACGTCGCAGGAGGATCGGTCAGGGCGGGTTCTATGGAGGTTTTCTGTGGTTTCTAGGGGGTCAATGGGGGTACCCTCTGGTAAACTAACATAGCTATTGAAAATGACCATTTATAGTGGATTTTCCCATTGAAAATGGTGATTTTCCATAGCTATGTTAAATTACCAGAGGGTACCCCAAATCATCCAAGTCATGGTCGACCATATGGATCAATTGGATCATGACTTAGTTTTCACAACCATGGTGACTTGTGGTAACTGTGGTAACCCATTTCAGGAAACCTCGGGAAAATATGAACATTTGACCATTTTTAATGGCCACCATAATGATCTTGGGGGTGATGAATCTTGATGAATCCTGAATATGTTTTATCTTGGGATCCCAAGTGTTGAGAAGATGAGACTACTTCCAGTTGCTGCCCTGCTGAGTTTCAATTCCCCATAGTCAGAAAGATCCACATTTCACATGTTTTTGTCCCATCTGCATATTTGCATTGCTCAGTGGGTGTTTATCATACTTAGGGACTTAGGGGTCCACTTTCAACATTGTTGCTAGCTGCTTCACATAAACAGCAGCTTCCCCTACCAATTCAAGCACATTTCCCAGCCAAAAAGAAGCTTTACTTCAGAGGGGTGTGCTGTAAAGACATAATTCCATAGCAAAGGTAGGGGACCTAGAGGGATCTAGATTTCATACTGAAATTGCTTTCAATCTCAAGTACTTGTACTTTCTATAGCATCTACCTATATGTATATATATATATACATACACGTAGTATGCACAGTCACTGGCAATGGTCCTACAACAGGTAGCGCAGTTGATAATATATAAATTAAATATACATCTGTATACACATTTTCTCGATAATGTATAGTTACCTCAAAGCACCTCTTGTCAGAAGTAACCGCAAGTTCTGGCTCTGTTGTTTTATTGTGAGTTTCTTTTTTTGTTACTGAGTTGGCTGGGAAACACTACAGGACATCATGCTATTCTACCATCCAAACATGTGGGGATGGGTCAAATTTTAAGCCCTATGAGATCACAGATTCTAGTGTATTTTTAGTGTTAACCGTCTAGTTATTGAGGTACCCAATTTTGACCCATAGCCATGGGGACAAACAGAGATCGCAGGATCCACACTGTCTCTGAAAGCTTGTTCTTCGGGCCGGGGGCCTTGGGAGACGGAAGATGTGGGAAATGGGAAGAATCCATTGGTTCATCTCATTAGCCTCTGGTAAACTGTATAACATAGCCATTGAAGATGGCCCATTTATAGTTGATGTACCTTTTAAAAGTGGTGATGGAACCCATAGTTGTGTTAGTTTACTGGAGGGTATCCCATTCTTTTTTGATTGGATATATCCATATAATCATATATACAGTACCCTATTTTTAGACAATCCCCTAAAACTCTTTTGATGTTTGTAGGGAGTTTGATCTGGAATTTGATCATGACCTCACGTCTCAAACGTCATCCCAGGAGTTGACCAGGAAAGAAAATGCAGGAATCCAGGGTAGGAGGACTACTGGTTTGCAACAAGAGAAGTGTAAAATCCATCACCATCCAAAATATCTCCGGAATGATGTCAGTCTCAATTTGAGAGACTGGTGGTTCTTGATTTTACCACCTCCAGATGCTCATCAAATACATTTTATGTTTTTTTTTAACCTTTAGGCATACTGCAGAGTCTCTGCTCGGTGCATGCTGAAACGAATCAAACCGACCCTGTACTACACACCATGGTAGTCCGGTTGGACCTGGTCTGTCACAAAATCCAGTCGGTTCAACTCAAGGAGAGATGGGGCCAGTGGTTGTTCCACCACTGGCAATGCATCAGCCAGCAAAAGTGCATGATGAACAATAGCGTCAGCCATCAATGCATTCAATTGCGGCGGATACACCTTTGCAATGGAAGTCTTGAATTTGCCACTCTCATCACGGCCTTGGAGACTGGTATGATGATGCGCAGGATGAGCGCAACGCCCTTGTCGACCAAGTGTGCGGACAGTGCGGGAGAAGACCCCAAGCCGCAAAAGAGCCAACGTAGTCGGCTTTCGCGCCTCGCACCCAAGGCAGCACTGGTCAAAGGTGCAAATCTCGACGCACTGCAGGCGGCGCAGCCATCTAATAGGCCAGATAGACCAGATGCTGCACGGCCGGTGGCAAATGGCCCACGTAGGGTAGGCCGGATGCTCTATGAATCCGCATCCACCCATCTTGGCACACAGGTAGACCATCTTCACGATGAACAATACTAGGTGCGTGCCAATTTCGACTTGCTGCCAATGTCTGTCTGATAAAGCTGGGAGTCCATACGGATGGTCGTAGTCTCGAAGCGGGCACGGTCCGTCAGGGAGTAGTCGCGCGGCGCTCCACGTCTCGCACGGAGGACCCCCTCCCGACCGCCCCGGTCAACACCTGCTTCTCCCACCAGGCGATACGGTGAGCTCCAGCCAAATCACCTTGATCAGCCTGAAGGCAGTAATCCACACTGATGCAAAAGATCTGTAGCGCTCCTTGAACTTGATGAGACTCAATGTTCCATTGGAGATCACCGGGTCTTCTATAACCGGAAAAAACATGGATAAAACATAGCGTCCGGATATGAAGTGCCGCGTGAAGTCGCGCCAGAGCACCAGGTGCAAACCTCCCACAAGAACCAGTGAGATCGCCAGCAGGGGACTGGTAGACAAATGCAATCTCGTTCGACTCCTCCGTCTCGATTGGCGCCTCTGCTCCATTGCCAATGCAAGCACCAGAAAGAGCCTCCACCGCAGAAAGATCGCCGGGTCCAGCACGAAGGAGCCACCGTTGATACATGTCGTGCGCATCCTGTGTCATTGGTGCCGGCAAACCGGGCCCAACAGCGCGAACCACGGGGCACATTGCCTTCGTGGGACCCCATCCTTGTCTCTTCAAATCATTGGCAAAGACACGATCCTCAGCCTCCTTCTCCTTCATCACCTCAATTGCCAAGGGAGGCAAACAAGCACGAAGTCGGCTAAAGCAATCATCGGCTGTACGAAGATGCGCACAAAGGCGTGCTCGGCTATGAAAATCTCGACAGCAATGAGCACATGTACGATCTGCTGCAAAGTGCTTGACTAGAGTTTTGTAGCCATGGACCTTGCTCGCATGCATCGCCAATGCCCGTTTGGACTGGAAAACTTCAGAACATAGATCGCACCGCCAACAGGCTACCGGAGCAGCTTCACTCGAAGAAATGCCAATGGCGTTCTCCTGCATCAGCGACACAAATGACGCCTTCCATACCTCCACAAAGGCATATTGACGCCGGTATTGGCGGCATGAATGAAGAGCTCGACGGATACGCCCTTTCCAACGCTCATCGATTTTCACAAATGTAAACCAATCAACCAGCGAAGAGTCCTGTGTGAGGCCACAACGCGCACCATAGAATGTGGAAAACCACGCAAAGGACTGTCGCAAAGAAGACAACCATGAGCAGGAAGTAGATGCTGAAGCATGAACCAAATTCCACAATAAAGGCGGCGCACCAACAATCCAGCGCCGAAGATACCGTAATCGCGCCGCATGAAGAGCATCGCCTGGTGTGAGAAGTCCCGCTAGTCCACATAGCGTAGCAACGTCAAATTGAAAGGGCGGTAATCCTCGAAGTTCACTGCGGACCAAGGGATAAACCATGGAGCGGAGACCATTCGCCCATTTGGAGAATTCTTCATCTGAAAGCATCGACCAGATGTGTGCATTGTAGAGCAAACGGGACATCACCAGAGACTCAAACAGCTGACGCTTGGTAGCAGCATTGATTTGGCAACGACGAAACACCGGACGCACCAAAGGGCCCCAGGCTTTCCGTGCTTCAGTCAGGCGTGCTCGAGCATCGCGTGTAGAAGCAGCATTGTTCTGTAGCCAGGTTCCCAGGTGTTTATAGCCCAAAGTGCAGTGAAGACCAATCACCTCCTCATCAACCGGCACAGCCAAAGTATGGCCCTGCGCAGCAACTTTCTCTCGAAAGGATCTGGACCCAGCACCTCGCCAATGCACCATGAGCTCCGTCTTGCCAATCTCGAAGTTGAGAGATAAGCCGCGCTTGCGCGCTTCAATGACAATGGCCTGCAAGGCCATTTTGGCCAACCCTTCCAGCAAATCGTTGGTCGGTGCGCGCATTGCTACCGCACAATCATCAACGAATGCAATCTCAAACCATGCAAAAGTCGCTGGAACATGGAGTTCATCGAACGAAAAAATGGTACCAGCATGACCTTCCCAGGTCGCTGTGGTACCGGTGGCAATTCGTTCGGTCACCTTGCGTAGAATGACTGCCATCGCCAAATTGAAGAAAGCATCGCCGACTGGATCTCCAGGTCGCGTTCCTTGGGTGGTGAGGACAAATGCATTGACTCCATCCACCTGAAAGTGAGTACGTTCCAAGAGGTCCTTGAGCAACGCCAATGCATGCGCTGAAATGCCAGCAACAGCCACATCTTCGGCCGCTGTTTCCATCAAGTGAGCAACATGCTCTGGTGTGATTCCCATCTTGTACATAGCATGCAAATAGGGGGCCGCATCCGGCGCATCCTCAAAGAGCCCTTGACGAACAACGGAGTAGAATGCTGCTTTCATATCGACGAACAAGATACCAGCAGGGAGCTTGTGATGGGTGGCATGCTCTAAATGGGCCTGCAGACAATGATGTGCAAGATCAGCTGCCATCTGTTTGCGGCCCCCAAACTGGAGATGCATGAGAGCACCTGACCACGCATCCAAGAGATGTCTGCGCAAGCTGGCATGATATATCTTTGTCGTATAATTCGACACAAAGATTGAACGATATGCCTGCGGATCAGAGCGACAAAGTTTTCCCTTGTACAACGGGATCAACTTGCCACCACGCCATGAAAGCGGCTCCGATCCACGCAAGGCAATCTTTGTTGTGATGGTGGCCAATTGTTGCGCTACAACGGCCCCACCTGCCTTCATCAAGTCAGTTGGTATTTCATTTGGTCCAGGAGCACGCCCCCTCTTGAGTTTTTTGATCTGCATCTGCAACTCATAAAGGGTAGGGATGGCGTCCTTGTCAAGTTTGGCAGGATCAAGACCAAGCCCTTTATGGTGCAGGTGTTGAAGTGCATCTGGAGAAAGAACATGTCCAGCCTCAACGGCGGCAAACTGTTTCAACCAGTGCATTTGCTGATCCTCATAGGTCTGCAAAGGAGCTTGCCCTGAAGGGCACAACAGAGGTAGTGCCTTGCCACCAGAGGCTTTGTGACCTGGACGTCCTCCAAGGCGGACCAAGAGCTTGTAGACGTACTTGTAGTTGTGAATGTCGCCTTGGTCAGCAAGTTGCTGAACCAATTGTTCATAGAAATTTTGTTGATCTTGACAAACTCGTTGGTGAATTTCTTTCTCAATCTCCTTCAAGTGCTTCTTGATGTCAGCATCTTGCAGCAGGTTCATCCGCCGTCCATAGTCCAGCACAGAGCGCTTAAATGCAATAAGATTGCAAGTAGGCTCGGTTAGGCGTGGACGAGATCTTTCATTCGTCTGAGATGTGAAAAACTGCTGCGCCAACTGCAAGAGATTGCTTTCCCAGATCTGAGCATGAGTGTCAACATCTGCAGACCACTGTGGCACCGGTAGCGTCTTCAAAGCCTCTTGAAACTGACGGCATCGCACTGGGTCTTGCATGGCAGCAAAGTCCCATCGGATTTTTGATCGACCAGCGCAGGCCTGGAGCCAACCACGACATGTCAATGACACTGGTAAATGATCTTCGTGAGAAAAGCCAGAATCGTGATCCCTCAAAACATGCGAACTGTGGGCCAACTCAAAAGCTTGTTTGGAACACAGGACATAATCAATGCGGTGGTCTGTTCCTCGTGGGTGTTTCCACGTTGAGGTAGGTCCAGCATGGCACCAATCAAACGTGGTTGGAGCATAAAAATCCAAGAGGAGCAGCGCTTCTTCCGCAATGCTGGCCTGTGGTGAGTCATGCTGGTGTCCATGAGGTCCAAAGTGCTCATTGGGAGCCATGCCAAGATCAGCATTCAAATCAGCCATGAGCCAGGCCAGGGGTGCTAGTTGAAGGTTTCGAAGAAGTTGGACTGTTTCATTCCACCATTTCTGAACCGCATCAAGAGCTCCACCAGGCGTAGCTGACCGACATGGTGCATGCAATACCACAAAGGAGACTGTCAAATCCTGCTTGGTCAGGTTGACGACTAGGCGTCGAGGGTCAGCCAAAGGAACTGACGCCTGCATTTGATCAAATGTCAAAGGACCATAGCCTTGCAGAGTGATCCAGGGAATTTCGCGATGCAACCACAACTCACAGCCATGATGCGGGCAAACACCAGCCACTTCAGCTCCTGAAGAAAAGGTACGATAATGATCCAGCACTGCACGCCCAGTCGGGCGGCGAGTTTCCTGCAGCCCAACGACCGCGATTTTCTGCTGGTGCCATTGTGCAGCTAAACGCATAGCACGAGAACTTCGCAGCACCTGCTGCGTTTCATCAACTGCGTCAAGTGCAAGTACATTGGCTGAGACAATGGTGAACTGCACAGGTGCCGGATTGCCCTTCTCTGGAGACATGGGTGGTTTGACATCACCTTTCGTTGGCGGTGTAAGACACCAAAGACCAGGACTGGGTGACGGTGGCAAACAATGGTGAAACGCTGTCGTCTGTTGAGAAAGCCATGCCCAAGAAACATCATTGGCATGAAGTAGATCTTGCAAGACTGGCACCCGACATTGCCCAATGGAAGTGCCGGTAAGAAGCACAAACTTGGCCGCACCATCGGCTAGTTCATTCCAAGGGTGCCCTCGATGAGCTCGTACTTCTTGAACAGTACCATCAGCTTTCAGAAACTCTGACCCCAAACATTGTGTCAACTGCACCAGGCATGGGTGTGCTGAAGAAGTGCATCTATGTTCAGCTAGAAGCGCACTCAGCTCGAGATCAGGCGCAATGACAGGAGTTGTCCCAAAATCGACCGTAATTCCAATCACCGCCGCATAAATGAAAGCTGTGAGCTCTGCTGAGATGTTGTCGGCCACATCAGCGCCAATCCATGTTGGGTGTGCTGAACATGTTGAGACTATGTCAGCAATGGTACCCAAAAGCGCCGGGGTGCCCTGGGAGTCAAACTGCACGCACACAACGCTCCATGCTGCAGTTCCATCATAGGCAGCCCCATCGATGAACAACACTGTTTGGTTCGCAAAGTGAGGTTCACAAAAACGATGAGGCTCAGAGAGTGCCGCATAAGTGCACGAATGCAGCTGAATGCCTTCTGGAAGCCACGTGAACTGAAGAGTGGCCTGCTGCAGTTTATCCTGCCAATCCGGAGAATCACTATGCATCAGCATCGCCCCATCCGTTGATATCGGTGGCAAAGGACTGGGCAAGCAAGCATCCAACGACAGTATGACCCTAGGAGGCACAGAACTCAAATCTCGGACTACATCTTGAGCATCACCTACACTCGTAAGAGGGGGAGCAAGAGGATCGCAAAATGCCTCCAACATCTCCTTCATGACAAAGTGTGTAGCTCGTGTCAGTGCATGGAGCTTTGAACTGGTGAAATCAGCCTCAGTCGAATTTGCCATCAAAATTGTATTTGCCAAAGAAACTGAAGCACTGTCCAGATCTTCTGCCTGGTCAAGCAAACTGTGCGCACAACGAGACAGCTTGGCGACGTGTAGCTGAATGAAAGCAGCACCATCGGCTTGCTCCTCTTCAACAGCATCAAAAGATAACTGCGGAGGTTCCTGCAGAGAACTCACCCGAAGGGTAAATCCCATACCATCATCAACCTGCAAGATAGCTCCATCAGAAAGATCACGTGCACCAAGGAAGGTTTTGCAATACAACCACTGATACCACTCAAAACAATACTGCTGGTAGTAGGCGAGATCCAGGATCTGCCAGTGGTCAATGGTGCTAGAAAGTGTAGCCGCAAACCTGTATGGTGAGTCTTGTGCCAACGTTTCATCGTGAATTGCCAGGAGCACCGCGCGACGCATGGGCTGTGGCTGTTGCACTAATAGAATCTGGAAGTGCACCCCATGAGCAGGATCCAATGAGTCTGGTACAACAACATGAAATTCAACTGGTCGTGAAGCAATGATCCAATCTGTCCAAGCTCTTCGAAGACGAGGCTCCCAAGCACGGAAATCACTGCCCAATTGAGTGAGCCGCACTTCATTGGACCAAGGTCTTCGAAGGTGATCAAGGTACCAAGTCTCAACCATTAACAAGTCAGTGTCATGATCCCTGCATTGAGCAAAATGATGTTGCCATAAGTCACGCAATGTCACAGCAGGGGCTTCTAGTCGAGGATGCGTCACATCCTGAACACCAGCAGAAGGGTCAACCACAGCTGAAGAAGCCACTCGACTTTGACGTGCTGCTCGTTGCATAAGGGACCGACCAGAAGTGGCTCGAACCATGCGAGGCACATAGGGGTCTTGCCAGCTACTGGCGGAAGGGTCACATTCATGTTCTCGGACAGGTCGGCTGAAAATCTCAATGCTGATTCCTGAAGCAATCTCTTCACGAATAAAACGTTGAAAATGCATCCGTCCACAAACGGCAAAACAACGGCGAACTTCGCAAAGAAAGTTGAGCTCCGTCGCATCTATGATGTCCTCCGTGGAAACCCAGCGAGGCAAAGAGAAAGCCGACTGCCAAAGTTTGTCCTCAAGGCGCTCTTGGATGTGCATAGACACAACTGCAGCTGCCTTGGCTTCCATGACATTCTGCTCAATGAGGATGTGCAAAGTGAAAGACTGCAAAGTTGTGGCTGGAGGAAGTGGTTGAACAACATGAAGACGCACAGGAACAGAGTCCTGCATCTAGAATCCAACACTCCATGATTTGAGGAAACCACATGGTATCTTCGGCCAGCAACTTGATCTTTGCCGGCTGGCGACATGTTTTGTAATTGACATTGTCAATGAACCAGACATCAGCATACAACGCGTGCCCTTCATCCTCATTTTCAATGTGAGCATGTTCATCAAATGCTTCGCGAAGTTCACGATGCCAATTCTCAAAACTTTGCAAGGAAACACATGGGGGAAGTGGCCCAAAACCTGTGTTCGCAGGTGAGGGCATTGGTGTCGGTGCTGGCGCCGGTGATGGTGCTGCTGGGCTCGGTGCAGCTAGTAGCCCCGCCACATAGGTCTCAACTTGCCTTATTGCCTGCAGTGTATTGAGAGTGCCATCACTAGCAGGCGGCACAATTGCACGCAAATATATGTGCCATGTTGAACTTGTCGAGGGCCAGGGCGAAGAATGGGCCATCCTTCATTGTTGAAGTAGACCAAACAGCTGTCATGCTGAACTACGCAATATTGATAGACGCCCGCATATCTGAGAACATCGTGTCGAGTGATGAAAGGTGGTACTCGAAGGACACGACGAATGGCGACAGGAAACGCTGGAACTCGTCCTACCATGTGTTGAAAATGCACCTCCACGTCAAGGATCACCAATCGTTCTGTAGATGCCGCAGGAATGTCATCAAGATGTTGTACAATGATACTCCAATCCTCCTGTGCTTGCCCAGCCATGCGTACCCATACTGGATAAGACGCCACAAATGACTCTCGTGGTACCCGAAGTACATGCGCAAGCTCAATCAAGAGCGGAACACCAGCCACGTAGTTCAGGAACAGGTGTAGCGGTGGATGATTCAGCCGGTAGATATAGCAGTTGAGCAGCGTCAGAATATCACGAGGCAATTCTGAAGAACTGGAATCAGGAGTCCTAGGGTCGTGATCTTCTGGACCATCATCCTGAGGAGACTGTTCACCCGGTGGGGTCTCTGCATCGTTCTCCTGCATGGTAACATCACTGCCAAATTCTGCGTGTTCCCCATCAACAGCTGCAGGATCTGGGACCTCGACAAGACGATCCGGATCTTGCTGCGAGTCGGCAGGAACAAAAATCTGAAATGCATGTCCAGAACGCATCAAATGTCTCGCTTCCGCGTTCACAGAAATGGAAGTCCAGCCATGAGAGATAGAACAACATAGAACAACGTCTCGGAGAAATGGGCGAACAGAAATGGTGCAAATCCACTGCATCAATGATGAGATAACCGCTGACCATACGAGGGAAAGAATGTGCCACTGCGAAGTGCATGTTACCCTCCAAGTCATCAAGAAATGCCACTGTGACCAAACCTGAATATCGCCGAATGTGTATGTTATGGGACAAGATGATGTCCAAAGAAACCCACATGTCAGCATGACCTCGTACAGGTTGTGGATGAACAATTTGGTAAGCCGTAGGGATGTCTGGAGCTAGGACATCATTCCAGCCTTCTCGCAATTGCTGAATCCATGTGGCTTGGTCTCCATCAAGTGAAATAATGCGGGATGCCCAATGTTGCCGTGGTTGAGAATGATCCACAAACCACGTACGAATTTCAAGAAAATTGCCGGGCTGGCCACCAAATGGAGTCAATGTGTGTCCAAGCGCCGCAATGATATTGTCGGTGAAGTCCGGGATGCGTGGTGGTGGCGGTCCTTGTCCATCACGTCCAGGAAAACCATGGTCACTGCCATCTGCAGGAAAGCCATCCGGGCGTCCATGGTTGTCGATTATTTTGCAACTCATAATTGGTGGAACTGAGTCCACATCATTTATAAAAGACTGCCAAAATGGCAGGGACTGAGCATGTGTCGATCGCTCAGTAGGGCGCCTAGCCCAAGGTTTTGCATGCCAATTGGCGAGGCAAGGTTCACTGAAAGAAAACGATCTCATCCTCAAAGTGTCAGCATCCCCAAGAAAGACGCGAACTTCATCACGAAATCCAACTCTGACAGTTTTGGGAGATCGGGGCTTCCCTGGCTTCGCAGGGTATGACCCAGGGTGACCAAGCTCAAAGGCCAAAGAGGCAGCACATTCTCGAGCTGTCCACGTCGACATGAAATTGAACTCATCGACAATGGACAAATTCCACTGCAAGGTGTTCGAAAACTGACCTTGCCCTATCAAAGGCCACTGGTGTACGTACTGTTCAGTCACGTGACATCGGCCTAGCCCAAAGATGGCATTGCAGCATCGCCAGAGCCAGGCTTTGCGGACTCGGTTTCCGCCAGTCTTGGCCTTTTGTGTTTCTGCTCCTCCTTTTCCAAATCGGCAGCTTGTGAACGCAGTCCTTCTAGGCTGCTGGTAAGGTGATTCAGGCTCTCCGTGATCTTGTCGGGAGCCGCCAGGACCACATCTTTGATCTCTGTCTCCTCGTCGGACACCTCCTGCACCGATGTGTCCAAGGAGCTGGCCTTGGCCTTTTCCACACTGAGGTTCTCTTTTGCCTGCTCGAAGGCTTTCTTGGCTTCCTGGATTCTTGCCACCAAATTCTCTTCTTGGGTGGCAAAATCTTGGCCATAGGCTTGGAACCTGGTGATGCTGTCCGCAAGAAAGGTGCGCCATGTAGAGTGCATCTGAGATCTGGCTGCAATCGCAGCTTGTAGCTCGTCCCTGGATCTCCCCATAGATGTGACGGCTGAATGAAGTGTCTTCACCGACCTCTTGACATCCTTGGCCTTGATCCCCTGAATGTAGGATTGGACCTCCGGCGGGAGGCCGTCTTCGTACTTGTTCAGCAGGGCGACACACTCTTTGAGCTGCTGCGCCTCCTGTGTAGACACAGATGCCGGTGGATCGGTGGGCGCAACTGTGTTCTGCAAATGCGCCCAATTTGGCGCTACCGGCAACGGTGGCGGAGGTGGCGGCAACGGTTGTTGTGCTGAAGCCTGACCCCGACCACGAGACTGAGTTCGCCCATCCGCATCCATCTGCGGCTTGTTCTTCTTGCGTCGATTTTTCTTGGGTTGTCGCTGCCTTGGACTCGTAGTTCTCTGCCTTGGAGAGGAACCTGATTGTACCCATGGAGCCTCCCAGCCACTCTGGTCCTCGTTCCAGGTAGCATAGCTCCTGTCCTCGTTCTGCTCGATCGGAGTTCCAGTGCGCCAGTGACGAGTGCATGATGGGCAGTAGTCCATGGTCTTGCGGTTTCTGCGACCGCAACGACAAAGCCAAGGATATGCATCGGAAGCCGCCATCTCTGCTCGAATACGGCGTAGAAAGTGCGGATCCTGTGAGTGATGGGCCCTGAGCTGCTGATAGATCTGCGTAAGTTGGCTTCCCGTAAGCACTGCAATGCCTCTCCGATGCAAGTACCAACGAAGTCTTGCTTGTTGTCGGAGTCTGCGCTGAGCTCGCCGCTGTGAAGGTGTAATAGTGCTCGAGGAGGATGTAGACCACCAAGGGCACCACTTTCATACACAGGGAAGAAGCCAGCGCGTAGAGCTCGAAGAGAACCACGCAGTAGGGCTAGATCAGGGAACCGGTGATGGTGGTCTGCACTGTACCACCAGAGCACGTGCCGCGGCACAGCAAAGCCGCCAAAGGCTATGCGCCCGTGGGTGTACCGAACCCACTAAGGCAAAAACAGCAACAGGTACTAGCGGGGGGCTTCCCTGAGCTGAAAAACCTTCATTTTATGAATCATTTTAATCAACCTATCAAGCTATTTGTGGTTCATTCTCTTGCGGATGAACTGCATTTCTCCGAGGTGTGAGACCAGGCCCTGGCTGCCCAGTCGTTGACTGGGCGAGAAGCCAGGGCGCCCTTCGTTATCCGCATGATGCAAGTGACGTTGGCGAAACTCTTCAGCCACGTGAATTAATCACATTTGCATAAAAGGAAAATCTGGAAAAGGAAAAAATGAAGCATTCAGTTTGGTATACATCAAAATGTAAAATGGTGAACATCATTGTAACCATCATGTTGTAATGGTGGTTGCATTACAAAAAAAATGTTGTAATCATGCAGCATGATTGTTCCCATCAAAATAGCAATTTGGGTTTGTAGCCTATTGTACACACCATTGGTGAATCATGCTGAGACAGACCCAAGTGCGTGTAGTCTTTTTCTATCTTGTGTCAAAATGAGGCGTCTTCCACTCTGTAATGGACATTGCACATATGGCACGATTGGCTGGGCACTTGTTGACAGATGATCCCCGAAAAAAGCGTCCCGGATTCCAAATCGTGTCTTGTGGATTGCAGCGGCAGTGCAAACAGGGTAGTTGGTTTCTAGGAGAAACAGGGTTGTTTTGAGCTGAAAAGGTGATATTCCACATTCCAACAGAAGACATTATTTCAAGGGCTGAAGATAGCCGCAGCAAAAATGAAAGCATGGTGCTTGGCTGGTGCTTTCTTCCGAATAAAGTGGTGCTTTCTTGCCAGCTGAAGTGCGACACAAAATGCATGCTCACAGTTTGCGTTGAAACTGGATTTTGATCAACTAAATACCCTCAACCTGATTTCCAGATCCGGACAAACTGGTAGTTCTGGGTCTCCACTTTTCCCCTTTTGGCCGCACAGCTGACAAAAGGCGAGTTCTGCACGCTGGCATCACATTTTGGATCTATTTGAGCTCAAATCGTTGTGGCAACTGTCTTTGTTTTGAATGGGATTATGATTATAATGGCTTATACTACCTGGGTAACTATACGTACTACTAAACGTAGTTATTAAATGGATTTTTTTGGGGATTTTACAGAAAAAAACTGGTTCACTGGAACAGTGTCCCTGGTTTAATGCAATTAATGGGACCCCCCATCATCCCCAATCAACATTTAGGGTTGGCCCGAAAACGGGGAATTTACCATAATTTACCCTTGAATCCGCGGAAACTTCTTGATAGCTCCCTAGGTGCACCAGAAAATGGATGAAACTGGGTCTTAAAAATGGAATGTAGCCCAACATTGTCACTTTCATATCATATATATTAATAGATTTAACTTTGATATATGTTTAACTTAACGTTTCTCAGAAACTAATTCTTCTATCATCATATTGAATCAACCATCAAAAATTGAAGGTACTGCATGGCCCGGGTTTCTGTTCAATCGCACGTGAAGCTTTTGCCCAGAAGAAGCTGGCATAGATTCATATAGATTCGATTCACATCGTTGGTTATACGGAATGATTCCTACTATCAGATGGATCTTGGCATAGATTATAGACACATATGTATCTTATTCTGTATCATTCATTGGCTTGAATCTTGTTCACACATGTTGGATCACCTCGCAGCAGTGAAACCAGGGTGTGGATTCCACACATTTCCACATGTTCCTGGCCATACCATCATCGCAACCTCAAATGGACCTCGAGTGTGGCTGCTGTTTTGTGTCCATGTGCAAACCGGCAGATGCGCATGGTTCAGCCGGTGGTTCGTGTCGTCAAGGAGGGATTTTTTTGAGGTCAGACATGTTTGAGTACCGGAGCGTGTCCAACATTCCTGTCCCAGTAGAAATGCTCCTAATCATTGTCTTCAGCTGCATGTTTCACCAGTGGACATGATGCAGCAATTTCTTGTAGCGAGTGGATTGGAACGGATCGAACAGAACGGACATGGAATTCTATCCGAATAAAATGCATTGAACTGTGATAGGAATAAGATGAGACGGAGCGAGATAGAATGCAGCGGAATGAAATTAAGTGAAAATCTGACGGAATGAAATGGGACGAAATGAGGGGGAATGGAATGGAGTTGAGTAAACATTCAAATCGAATGGAAGACATCATTAGATGAAAGTTGGAGACATCAGCGAAGGAAACATTCTGAACGTCAGGGAGAGGCTGTCAAGTCCTTTTGCTGGGGACCATGAGCTAATGTCTCCGAGTCTCCCGGGGCCCGATGAGGCCCCAACATGAACCACATGAAGCACAGACCGCATCAGTGAATGATCTGAAGAGATATTCACATGTCGTGACCAAAGTCGGCCATTTTGACACAAAGTGTGGCCATTTTGTCGCATGGCGTAACTTGCCGCTGCTCCGCGAACCAATTTTGTTGCAAAATATGATGAGCTGCCGAGACGTGGAGGAGACGTCCATGATGGCATTGGATTCAAGGCAGTGATTTGCTCATCAAACTCACCTTCCATGGATTCGCATGAAACCTTACTGATATTTACTGATACCTTACAACGTTGGGCATTTTCACAGGCTTCGCGCCGACATTGGATGAGAATCATCCAGCATCCCTTGGGCCTTGCTTGGGCCTTTTTGATCCTTTTTTTTGGGTCCCCCGTTTGGGAGGTATGTTTGCTATTACGGGGATGGGACTACTGCACATTACTGCAGAGACTGCTCGAAACACCGCTGCTGATTGAAGATCAAGAGCGGTGTATTTTCCGGGCTGAAATAGTGGGATCACAGCGAAAAAAAAATGGGCTCAGATACGCAGGGCATCAACATCATCAACTGCTTGGTGGTTTCAAAACTGAGTTGATGACATCCCAGTTGAGCAGATTTTTGCAGGCTCTACACCACTCGCAGCAGATGCACCGCGAGAGACATGGCTTTGACCAAGGAAAACATACTTCTTAATATATATTCCATGATAATATAACATATATTGACATATGCAACATGGCATGAAAGCAACAATTTCTTGATATCAACACAGAATGATGGAGATTTTCAATCAGCAACATCCTAGGTGCACCAAAAAACAGCCCCATCGACAGAAATCCGCATGATCCACGGCTGAGTTCTCCGCCGACTTGGTGGCTGTGTGCTGGAGGCGAAAAACGTTCCAAACCTGGGTGAACAATGAATCCCAGAAGGGGTGGCTATAGTTGGATCAGTTGTGGATATTTCATGATACTTCTTGATCTTGCTCTTTGTTGTGTGTTCCCATGAACCACCAGGGTTTTTGATGGTCATAGGGCACCCTTCTCGCAACCTGTGAGATCTTAAGTAGTTCTTTTGATTTTCTGGGTAAACCTGGTTTGCTTAGTCTTACAGTTCCTTTTTTCACCATATAATGAAGATATGTTTTAACACATATATTTCTAAGTCAAAGATATGTAAAAGCATATTTCTTTAACATATATATCATCTATTCTTTGCGCGGTATCTGAGACTAGCATCTTTTCATCGCTTGGCACGAGAGGGGTCGTGATATGGTTGGATATGTGCTTCGTAAACAGCTTCAATCTTCCCTTTGTACAAGGCTCCCCGAGACCTAAGGAGGATAAAGAACATGGTGGCTATTTCAGTACAACAAGAACTTCACTTAGCCAATCGCTTTAAGCTGAAACACAGCCTTGACGTTGTTGCACGATGTTGCACGTTGCAGTTCCTGTCATGGAAATCAACCCTTTTATCCCGAGGCTTGCTGCAAGAGATAGTGGCAAAGTTCAAAGTGGAATCTGATTTTGCCCTTTTCAGCAAGAGATTCATTTCAAGATGACTTTCGATCAGAAAATGCGAAATTGGCCTGAACGGCATCAGTGTGCCCCCATATTTTCAAGGCAGTTTTAGTTGCAGCTGAGTTTCCTGGTGAACCTAATTATACAATATGTGACATGTGTTTTCTTTTTCACTTAGCCTCTTGTAGTGTAATTTCAACAACACACCACGCGAAATTTCATCGACAATTTGGGGAGCTTTTCCAGCTCCAGGTGCATGGCCAGCCAACTTAGGGACCAGGCGGGACGTTGTGTTTCTGGCTCCCGAAATCCCGTCAACCGTAACAAGTTTGGTGCTAACACCCCATTAAAAAAAGTCCCTCTGGTAATTTAACGTAGCTATGGAAAATCACCATTTTTGATGGGAAAACTCACTCTTTCTATGGCCATTTTCAATAGCTATGTTAGTTTACCAGAGGGTAGATCAAAATCCCATGGGTTTCCTATGGATTTTCCCCCTCGAAAAGTCCCGAAGTTTCCATGGAGGCATTAGAGGCGGACCACAATGATGTCGTGGCCTCCATGAATTCCATCATCCTCTCGTGCCTGGGATGGCGAGGTGAAAATTGGATTCCAACATCCAACCATCCCCAGGAACTAAGGAACTAGCTAGGTAAAAATATGACATAAATTATATGATTTTTATTCCCCACCTGCCAGGTGAGGATTGTTAGATTTTATGTCAGTTGTCTCCTCCTCCTGCCTCGTCCTCCTCTCGTCCTCCTCTCCTCCTCCTCCTCCTCTCCTCCTCGTCCTCCTCGTCCTCCTTGTCATCCTTGTCGTCCTCTCGTTGTCCTCGTCGTCCTCGTCGTCCTCCTCGTCCTCCTGCTCAACTGCGACTCGCGATCCACAGTGTTCGCTGCCGGACCTCAACCACGACCATCCACGCCCAGTGTTCCCTGCCGGACCTGAACCACGACCATCCACGCCCAGTGTTCCCTGCCGGACCTCAACCGCGAGGATCCATGCCAAGTGTTCCCTGCCGGACCTCAACCGCGAGTATCCATGCCAA